GAATACGGAGCCGAAGGGACAGTAGAAACTTTTGTGGAAAATAATGCCTCGTTGCATCATTCCTGAGGTAATCATTTATGAGATAATCATGACGTAAGACATTGCATTTTAACGAATCATTGATCACAACAGGGGATAGGAGCGAGGGTCAAATGTACATGTACATACATGTTTAATTAATACATTAAATTAGAAAACATCCCTCATTTTATCAAACTATTTGTATTTAAATCTTTTAAAGAACTTAGAACAAAATTGGCAACTGCACTGATTTCCTTGATCTCAGAAACGTATATTAAATGTAAAAAACACGATCCATGGCTTATTCCTAACTTATATCTCAATTTTAATGTATAAGTGTGTAATAATTAGCCGATTACGTCATAATGATGTAATAAATGGCCCTTCCCATCATCCAATTTTTGTATCCTACCTTGTTTTCGAAAAGGTAAACAATGGAGATGCTTTGGTGTGAGAATGGTGCTTTTGTCCACCCGTGTCACGATTTTATCACTAAGGTACCTCACTTTTCCGCTTATCTTTGGAACAAGTTTAAACATTTAAGATACTAATAATCAATTACAAAAACTCTTTTGGCATAGAATTTGAGCCTTTCTCTCTGACTTAAAAACAACATCTCACAATACCACATACTGTTTGCATGTAAAACAAGGTGTCAAAGTGACTACCCAAAATCCATGATTTTAGCCGGAAAAAACAGGTCTTTTGACCAAAAAGGTTTTTTTGACCCACAAAATCACCCTCAACTATATTCCATCCCAATGACATACCACTCAAATGAAAGATCTTGTTGTCCCCTTTAATTTGATACCAAATTTGTTTTTGAGATGCTTGCAGTTCTGAAGATAATTAATAATTTATATTTGTTCATGTCATAATGACGTCATACATGCCATTTCCATCATCCAATTTTTTGCGTCCGTCTTTTTTTCGAAAAGGTATACCATGGAGATGCTTTGGCGAAAAAATGGTGCTTTTGTCACTGTGTATTAAACGATCCTTAGCATTTTTGTTACTAATGTACCTCACTATACGGCCTAATATACCTATGTTCTCCATAACCCTAACCATAACCCTCACCCTAACCCTAAGGATTGGGGTCTTGGGGAACATAATGGGGAACATAGATACTATTGGGGAACATAGGTATTGGGGAACATAGGTATGGGGAACATCAGGTCGATCCCGGATTCACATATACAATTCTAGAAATGCAACAGAAAAAGGGTTGCCTTCGCTTGGGCCGTGCCCAAACGTGCCGTTATCACCTGCATGACCAGATTCATATAAACCAGTGTTGGAGCAAAGGCTTTGACCCTCAAGGCCAAGGCCAAGGCTTTGACCCTCAAGGCCAAGGCCAAGGCCAAGGCTTTGACCCTCAAGCCTCGAGGCCAAGGCCAAGGCTTAACCCTCAAGGCCAAGGCCAAGGCCAAGGCCCTGTTTTATGAAATGACCACTGATATAGAACTAATTATAGTCACATGAGTGACACGTCATCACGCAAGGGCGGACCCAGAACACAATTTGGGGGGGGGGGGCAAAGAAATTTTGGTCCCCCCCCCCCCAAAAAAAAGTGGGTCAAAAAATTACGGCTTGGGCTTAGGGGCCCGCTTAAGGGCCCCGAAAACTTTTTGTCCTCGAGATATGCTCTGTGGTGCGATTTGAGGCAATTTCTGACCATTTTTGCCAATGTTTTTTTGAGGAAAAGATGGTGGTGTACTCATTGCCTGCCTTTATTACGACGTCACATTAAAAAAAAAAAACGGTTTCGAATTTTTTTTGGGGGGGGGGCATGGCCCCTTTTGGCCCCCCTGGATCCGCCCATATCATCACGAATTGCTCATTACGAAGAACAACATTTCTTTAATTGCAATCAACATGAGTGACACATCATCACGCAAGGGGCGGATCCAGAACACAATTTGGGGGGGGGCCAAAGAAATTTTGGTCCCCCCAAAAAAGTGGGTCAAAAAATTACGGCTTGGGCTTCGGGGCCCGCTTAAGGGCCCCGAAAAATTTTTGGATTCGAGATGCTCTGTGGTGCGATTTGAGGCAATTTCTGACCATTTTAACCGATGTTTTTTGAGGAAAAGATGGTGGTGTACTCATTGCCTGCCTTATTTTCGACGTCACATAAAAAAAATTGGTTTCGTTTTTTTTTGGGGGGGGGGGGCATCATCACGAATTACTCGTTACGAAGAACAACATTTCTTTAATTGCAATCAACATGCTCGCATAGGCCTACACCGTTTTATGACTGCACTGTATCTATTAAAGTATAAGTTCAGGTCTTCAATATGGTTTAACTAGACAAAATAATGATTTACTTCTATATTGACACACAATTCTCCCAAGTGTATCAAAAGGGGACCCAAGAAACTGATTTGGGAAATGTTTTATTTGCTGGCCCAACATGGTCAGAAATATCAGCATTATCTAAAACAGATACATGCAAATCTTTAGCACTTATCAGGGAGACATAAACAACCAATCAGATCTATTCCATAGTTATATGCGCCTTGAGCGTCTTTTTTAGACGGATTTTGGCGCTATATAAATGTTCTCTATTATTATTATTATATGCAATTAAAGTGATCATCTCATTAGCCCCACAAGTGTACGGAATATTTTTGCAGCAAATCTACTACAATGGTAACAAATTGTGATGCTACAAAAGTGGAAGTGTGCCCAACACACAAATCTATAGGGTGCTTCCCTCCTCCATGGTAATACGATTAAAATGGTAACAGCAAAATTTCGAACAGATTTATCTGGAAAATGCACAAATCTATGGGCCTTGAAGAGCCTTGGCTCAAAATTGCAAGGCCCTGAACCCTCAAGGCCAAGGCCAAGGCCAAGGCTTTTGCCCTCAAGCCTCGAGGCCAAGGCCAAGGCCCTAAAATCCAGCCTTAAGGCAGCCTTAAGGCCAAGGCCCAGCATCAAGGCACTACATCACTGATATAAACATAGGCCTATATTCAATGTTTTATCATTTCAAAGTCAAACAGTACCTGAACCACTATGCTCGTATACTCACCTATCACAATTTCAGAAAAGTGCGCGTTACTTTTGGAGAAAACTCTGGAATTATCTTCGCAAAGCACCCCACTTCAAAACGGTGCGGATTAACTGTACATGTATGTTCCCAGAACGTGTTTGTATAGGTTGAGATCATAACGTCCCGAGATCCTTTGCTAGTGTTCAGGCAGCTGTGGCGAGGCATGATAGGTTGACCCGTCCCATTTCGACAACCCGATGCCACGTATAGGATGTGAGTATGCTGTGCCGTTAATAGCCTCAACGACCCTTGCGTGTGCTTTGTTTGCATGTACGTACGCCCCACACACACTTCCGCAAACAGCCGTACAGTAGGTCGAATATCCTCCGCCTCAACTTACTGTACGGCTGTTTGAGGAAGTGTGTGTGGGGTGTACATGTACGTACATGCACACAAAGCACACGCAAGGGCCGTTGAGGCTAACGGTATAGTACAACTCGTAAGCACTGGCACTGTCTTTTGTATTCTACTAGCGGGATGCCGCGCTTCGCGCGGCACCCGCTAGATGGGTGGAGTTGACTGTTTCGTAATAATTACTGTATACAGTGAAATCTCGATGATTTAAACTCCAATAACTCAAAATAAGTCAAATAAAGAATCAGACGCTCTGCTGCACGCGAGCCTATTTGGACTCGTCATCAGTCTCGCCTCAGTTGTATTTGCGTTTAGCAACGTGCGCGCACTGTAACGTTTTCTGCGGAGATTGTGCGAGGGTCCAGGACATATTGTCTATATAGGGGAAGGGGCTAGCTAGGGTGAAGGGTGCTAGTCGGAACGCCTAATACCCGTAAAACCCGTAAACCATGTCACCAATATTTCCGGGGATGGGGAGAAATATTTCCAGGGACGGGGAGAAATGGTTTTTGTTATAGAGGGGAGATGGTGATATTGAAATCGCTGATATTGTGGAGGTTAATGTTTATGCTGGGATTCATACCGTTAAAATGTTGTTTTAAATTGCGCACCGATTAGGAAGGTCTTGCTGTCAACATTTGAATGAAATGAAGTATTTATTGCCGACCGATTGTCTCATGCGAGGTCTCATTATATAAAGCTCATAACTAATGCTGTGCTGGAATATTGTCCAGTCAAATTAAACATTGATTTTTCAAGGTGCCAAACCAAAAAGGACGTATACACCAACTGTACAATTAGGTAATTTAGATGTCAAAGATGGGGCTTATACTTTATAGAATAAATCGTACAAATATCTATAAACAGGTTAACAAAGGTCACTGACCTCTCAAAGGTCACCAGAGGTCAGATATGAATTGTTCCCACATCTGATCATTATTTTTATTGTATGAAGACCTATGACATAGACTTGGGTCATAGGAATTAAAGTGAAGTTTTGAAGAACAAAAGTTATGAATAGAGTATTTAAAGTTCATTGACCTCTCAAAGGTCACCAGAGGTCAAATATGAAGTGCCTCCATATCTGAAAATTTTCTTCTTGGCATGAAGAACCAACATGCGAAGTTTCATGCTTTTGTCACAAATTGCACAATACTTTGGCATATTGGGGCTATGCCGCACCACCACAAAAAGTTAAATTAAGACGAAACTTCACGTTACAAGCTTTGGCCTACGGCCTAATATACCTATGTTCTCCATAACCCTAACCATAACCCTCACCCTAACCCCAAGGATTGGGGAACATAAGTACTATTGGGAACATAGGTACTATTGGGGAACGTTCGAACATAGGTATTGGGGAACATAGGTATGGGGAACATCGGGTCGATCCCGGATTGACATATACAATTCTAGAAATGCAACAGAAAAAGGGTTGCCTTCGCTTGGGCCGTGCCCAAACGCGCCGTAATCACCTGCATGTCCATCAGATTTATATAAACATGTATTCAATGTTTTATCATTTCAAAGTCAAACAGTGGCTGAACCACTATGCTCGTAAACTCACCTATCACACTTCCAGAAAAGTGCGTGTTACTCTTAGAGAAAACTCTGGAACTATCTTCGCAAAGCACCCCACTTCAAAACGGTGCGGGTTATGTTCCCAGTATGTGTTTGTGCAGGTTGAGATCATAACGTCCCGATATCCTTTGCTAGTGTCCAGACAGCCGTGGCCAGGCATAATAGGTTGACCCGTCCCATTTCGACAACCCGAGGCTACTAGGCACGTACATGATGCGAGTATGCTATGGTAGCAGACAAGTAAATAAACTTCCATGGACCCCAATGGTAAATGCTCCCACTTCAGAAATTCGGGAAAAATACTCACAACTCTCCAAGGTGTTCGAGACACACATCAAATTAAAGCTGATTTCATCATCTTTCATTTTCTTTTCAATTTACGGGGGGTCAACTAATGACTTTTAGGAGAAATGTCCATCCGAAGATGATCACCCCTTTAAAATAGTCCTGAAGCCCATCGCCATTTTGAAAAACGATGCCTACACTCCATTGCAAAATAGAGTGCTTTTAGGGCCCCAATTTCATCCAAATGGAACGGAACTACAAGCTACAAGTCCTGTGCACGGCTTCCACCCATATTTTTTACAAACCCTCAAGTTCATGGCCCACAGTATGCTCAAATACTGCATGCAAATCGTGATTTGGCCGGCGTAGGCAATTTCGGACCGATTTACTGGTCTTCAACCATAACGTCGGCCCGATATCCTTTGCTAGTGTCCAGTCGGCCGTGGACAGGCATAATAGGTTGACCCGTCCCATTTCGACAACCCGAGGCCACGTTCATGATGAGAGTATGCTATGCCGTTAGCCTCAACGACCCTTGCATGTGCTTTGTGTGCATGTACGCCCCCCACACACTTCCGCAAACAGCCGTACATATCCTCCGCCTCAACTTACTGTGCGGCTGTTTGAGGATATTCGACCTACTGTACGGCTGTTTGCGGAAGTGTGTGTGGGGCGTACAGGAGGCGCTGTTCATCGGTGGCCTTTAATAATATGAGTCGATAACAAAGACGGGAGGGGCCCCTTGGGGTGATGATGGAATGAATCGGTCAAAGGTTGAGAAATTCAATATACACAATGACAATTAAGACACATATCATGAGCACAAGACACATATCATGAAATATCCTTTACTTGAGTTAACAAAAGTGAAAATACTGTTTTCCGTGAAAAGTCAGGTAATAAGATGTTTAAAACTGGGTGTTTCGGTTACTTGTGTTAAAATGGTTTTAAGTAATATATAATGGTAAAAAAAACCTGTTCGACGGGTTGGCACTGGGCCTGCCAGTGAAAGTGCGGCGTCGCTGAATAAAGTGGGTGATCTTATAGACAGGGTTTTTGGGGGGGGGGGGGGGCTCGTACCATAGCCTACGCTGTTCGAATGCGACGTTTGTTAACACTATATCATAGAATAGTCTACATATACCCCCTAACAATGCTGCCTCTGTCCATATTTTGTGCAAGGGCGGACATTATTGGCTGTCAGAGCAGGGGGGTAGGCATTTTTTCATGAATTTCTATGGAATTTTTTTTTTTGACACAGTTGGGTTTTTTTTGGAACACCCCCCCCCCCCCCGGATCCGCGCCTGCGCCTACCATCGAACAGGAAAAATGGAACCAAAAAGCTAGCTGGCACACGGGGTCCGCGCACATATAAGTCCGACGTCTCATCGGTCCGACGCCTCATAAGTCCAACAAAATCTCATCTCCCAACCAAATAGAGGCCCATAAGTCCGACGCCTCATAGGTCTGACGTCCCATAGGTCCGACGTCTCACAAGTCCGACGCCTCAAAAGTCTGACGCCTCATAGGTCCCAACCAAATAGAGGCCCATAAGTCCGATGCCTCATAAGTCCGACGCCTCATGAGTCGTACGCCTCAAAAGTCCGACGCCTCATAAGTCCGATCGCGCCTCATAAGTCCGAAAACATCGTTTGACCGAATCCTTAAGTCCAATGCCTCATAAATCCAACGCCTCATAATCCCGAAGTTTCGGACTTATGAGGCGGCGGACTCACATTGTCGCATGAAACTCATAGACAGCGACGTAACAATGATTAGGGGCACCTGGGATGTATCAAAATATTCAAGGGGCACTGAAGGCAAGGAATTATTGTTTATGTCCAATTCAAGATTAAAAAAAAGGGTGCCGGGGCACAGACCTCCGCTGGGGAGGGGGGGGGGGAAGCAACTGGACAGACCTCATACTGGACGGTTGAGGTTAGAAAATTTAGTGGAGGACCCATTATTACATTGTACCAAGTACCTCCAGGGGAGTATCTCTTGAATATTGTCATTGGTGTACCTCAGCCACCCCAACCCCCAAATAAACTTGGGTTTCGTATAGGATCCGTGCATTTCCCATTATGAATTTCCTTGGTATTATTGTCATATATCATACTAAGGTAAACTGAAAAATGTATGCCTAAATTTGTTTTCCCATATTTATTTTTGCAATGAAACCTATAGATATAAATCATGAGCCTAATACAGAACGTATGAAGGTATGGTTGGCTCCTCAAATCGATACTAACTGAAATGGCCAAAAGTAATTCGGATTGCTGAAAAGCCATCCACATTATGAAAAGCATCTTAATAATGGCACGGTCATCTTAACCTGTAATCCTTCCGTCTATCTTCTTTGAAACCAATACTAAATCTAACGCTCGTCGCATCAGTGCAACAAGGTCGTACATCCATTCTGCTCTCGTGCGAAAACGCTCCATGCAACAAGTTCGTATCTCGACGTCCATTGACTTTGTGTGTACATCCGGGTAATACCCTGCGCAGAGTGACCTGTTGCCCTTTGGGCCCCAGGTAACCGAATTTTTTGAAGAAAAAAAAAATTGAGGGCCAATGACGGTCACCTTCCATCTAATCCTCATTCGACCCTTGCCAAATAAGCTGGTTCGATTAACTTTGCAGCCAGGGCTTCACCCAGGCCGTGTCAACAAACAGGCCTCCTGCCAAGTCTCATTGAAACATCAACAAAGACCTGTAACTTGACACAGCCATCTCCCTTCATAACTGCATACAACTGCATACCACAGCCGCCAGTCAATTATCTTCCCAGCGCACTGTCTGGCAACTGTCTGGACACTGTCTGGCACGTGGCTTTTTGTTGTATTGCTATGAAAAGGTTCTTGCGTAGTGCGGGAAAGTACCTGCTGCCCAGAGCGACTAGCAGACACTCCATCCATCAGGAGACTGCTTTCCAATTTTAAAACAAGAGTAAACGGCAATGATGATGAGGTAACATTGCAAAAACAAATATTATAATTATGACACAGTTTTTGTGAAATTGGGCACTCAAGATAAACAAATTGTATTGCAATGAAATTTTCTGTAATATTTTGTCATGGTATTTGACACGAAAATCCAGAAACTTGACAGGAACCGCCGAAGAATGAATGAAATATAATTTAAGGAAATTGCAGTATGAAGGACACTCCGTATTTTCTCGTCATGTCAACACAGTTATTGTGAAATTGGGAACTCAAGATAAACAAATTGTATTGCAATGAAATTTTCTGTAATATTTTGTCATGGTATTTGACACGAAAATCTAGAAACTTGACAGGAACCGCCGAAGAATGAATGTAATATAATTTAAGAAAATTGCAGTATAAAGGACGCTCCGTTTTTTAGGCCAAAAAAAATAAGTGTTCGGTTTCTGGTATGCGCGCGCGTCGCCGTAACCATGCGCGTCGGCAAAATGAACAAGTTTTTTTTTTCAATAGACCGCTTGCAGACGCGATCGATAATTGACGCGCTAAGGTGAGCGACGCCATGTTCTGGGACAAAATGTGCGTGGATAGATATACGCCTGTCCCACAACATGGCGTCGCGCGCCTTCGCGCGTCGATTATCGAACGCGTCTGCAAGCGGTCTATAAAAGATGATGTCTCAAAACTGCCAAACTCACTGGTTTGACTGGAATCCTGCTGCTGCACAATTTTAACGTGTTTTTAGATGGGGATATGATCGAGAATAAGCTTTATGTGGCCTCTCTGGACTCCCATATATTTTCACTAAGTTTAGTCGGGCACCAATTGCAGTCCTCAGCCGACATTTGAAGCAAAAAAAAACAGGTAAAAAAAAAAAAAAAAAAGCCGCGTCGCCGCACCACTCTTTGGGCAAGCTCCATACCAGAAACCGGAGACGTTTTTTTATTGGCCTTATCGTCATGCAACAATTTAATACAAAAGAGGGCGCGCTACACAAACACTGCCGATGACTGCTCACCACGCTCCGGCGTCTGCCGCCGTTCGAGATGTAAACACAGTTTTTGTGAAATTGGGAACTTAAGATAAACACAAGGAATTGCAATGAAATTTCCTGAAATATTTTGTCATGGTATTTGACACGCCTTTGAAAATCTAGAAACTTGACAGGAACCTCCTAAGAATGAATTTAATATAATTTAAGGAAATTGCAGTATGAAGGACACTCCGCATTGTCTCGTCATGTCAACACGTATTTGCACTAAGTTTAGTCGGGCGCCATTTGCAGTCATCAGCCGACATTTGAAGGGAAAAAACGGTAAAAAAAAAAACCCGCGTCACCGCCGCACCCCTTTTTGGGCAAGCTCCATACCAGAAACCGGAAACTTTTTGGGGGGCCTAACCAATTTGTTTAGTGTACCCCCCCCCCCCCCCCCCCCAATCCCTTTGGAAAATTTGAATGACTATATTGGCATCCGACACCATAAATGGGTTGCCTTCACATTCTCAATACCGTCGATTTCAACGGGTGGCCTGTGGAAACTTCTGTGACAAAACGCCCTACCGATAATCATCAGTTCCTTGCTGTATAATCTCAGCAGCCTTGACAGAAATGTCTGCGTTCTTTTTATAAAAGACCATATATCTTGCGTTTTCATACCAATTTACAGAATAAGATCAGCAACTGAAAATTTGCTAGGTAAGGCGTTCGAGAATTCACCAGTCCAAGTTATCTTCGCTCAGTACGGGATTTTTGCGAAAGCTCCTTAATTAGATTTTATTTCAGAGCAAAATTGTGTTATTCGAACATGGCAATTGTATACAGTCGGTTGCGAGCTCATCTGGTCAAAGTAAAGTACATGTAGTTCGTTTTTTTTCGAAGGAAGTTGGTCTTTACACAGTCTTACATTTACGGAGAACAATGTTGAAAACCCAATAAGCAGTGAATTAACCCATTTCACATATGGAAAAAAAAAATGTCATATGGTACTATATTTTGTATTGATTCAAAAAAATATAGACAACTTTAAAAACTTCACAGAATGTCACTTAGTCCAAAATATTATTGTTGCCCGGCTAATACCTGCAAAATACATAATATGATACCACTTCGATGCTATAATGTTCAGGCAATGCTTCCACATATAGGCCTTACTAAACAAAATAACGTACCGCAGGTCATGATCATTATGAATATGCTTGACTTTTTATAGGCCTACCACCAGTTAAGCCATTATGACGTACTTCGAGATGTTGAGCACAGCAGGATCATTGTTCAGCCCGTGACCTACCAAATCCAACAGAGTCGCAAACCCACAGAACAGTTTCTTTACTTCGCCTTGGAAGTGACATTGACCTCAGAAAACACCGGGGTCACTTCTGCATTTAAGGCCCACACAGACTCGATCGTTCTCGGATCACTGTCTTCTTGTGGACAAGATGAATCGTCTCAAATTTTATCAGATTGTCTTGATGGTGGTATCCACCTTTTTCAGTTCGAGCCTCGTTTCTTGTTCGACACCAGAGACTTCAGATAAAGACGGTGTGTCCATATGGATCGACCCTCAACAAGCACAACGTCTATCGTGTAAGTTGTTCTCGCAGCAAAAACGCCACGACATGCAAACAAATCCCTATACATGTTGAGTGTACGTATCCAATATAGATTAAAATGAATGTTCTTATTTTGTGTAGGTCGAGGAGCCAATCTTTACATACTTCAAGAAGGGAAGCTTGGAGGATTGATAAGAACTATTTCAAAGTGGAATGGGCACCGACCCACCATACCTGCAGATATACCCGCTGTGAATGTGACGTGGCAAGCACCCCCTGACGTAAGTAACGATCACATTGTTCTTTTCCGAGCTAATTAATAGTGGTTTTCCCGCTCGATTTCGCAACTTGTTCAATTCAATCAGACTGAATGTTAATTCCGTCTCAAGAGGTGTTAGGGTTTGGGGACGAATACGATTTCTATATAATATTAAAGTGCCGCAACTACAGCATTTGATTCCGTTAAAATGTTATCAAATGTACGTGCAGTCAACATTTTTCGTGTAAGCAAATCTCATTTTGTAAGTTGGTTCCGATGTCGCATGCACCGAGTATTATTTATAGGCGAATTTGATAAAGTATTCACTTTCAACTAAAGTGCAGTGGAATTAAGAGACAATTCAATTTGGCATTTGCATTTCGCCAATCGATTTGGGGCGGCGATTAAAAAAAGTCAATTTCACGTAGAGAATTTTATACACAACGGGAAGACTTGTGGGAAATGAAAAGTTTGCGCAATGGTACAAATTGTATACAATTTGGAAAGAGTACGTCAGTTAAAATTAAATATCACGTTATTGGCTTCGCGAAAAGTTTGTTTGATTAATTCTGGGGAATTATATTAGGGCCGCATACATGGTTTAGCTAAGTCGCTGGAAAGCCGGTAAGAAAAATGTATATGCCTACCCTCTAAATGTAAGAGTGAAAAACCACTCGAAAAGAGTTGTCCGGAAGTATGGCTCTTTAAAAGAGTGGAAGTTGCACTCTAAATTTGAGGGGGTTTTTGTGAAAGTGAAACTTCCACTCTTTTAAAGAGCCATATGTTGCACTCTTTTGAGTGTTTTTTTTCCTTCACTTTTTTACGTTTAGAGATACTAGAGTATAGCTGATGGCGGGAAAGGGGATTGGGGAAAGCTCCCCGCCAACACTTCAAAAAAGTAGATGCGCCATTAATGAAGGAGTAAATGTGTGCTTGGCCGGTTTTCAACATGTTTAAGACCGATTGGAGTCTGGATGCTCACCTTGTAATTAAACAGTCTTAAACATTATAGTCTTAAGCCCCAGGCACACATTCACGGTTTGGAGCTATGGATCTCCACGGTTTGAAATTCGTGATAAACCGTGGGAGTACCGTATTCATCCTTAGTACATCCGTGGTTATCCATCATCTTCCTTGGGTATTCGTGGAGGGGCTACGGAAGTATTAAACTGTTCAAAACTTCCGTTGTGAAACGTCATGGAAATCAATCCGTAGTGTTATTCGTGGCTATTCGTACATAATTATTGGAGATTCGTAGCTCATTCGTGGTAGAAATCTCTACGAATTCGCTACGAATGTCCTACGCATATGCCCGGATGTGCTAGGGTTCTGGTTGTACTACGAATACCCACGCTTTATTTGTAGGAGAACCTTGGTCATTCGTTTAGAATTATAGCTGAGTGGTCTCTAGAGTTTGGGTCGAGGAACTCTATATATCGTATTATGTTTTTTACAGTACAAATACCAGTTTCAGTTGCGATCATACACACGGAATGTAATGAGGACACCCAAGTTGAATATTCCACGCAAAGGCACGGTTCCTCAAACCGAATCAAGTAAGTTCCACATTTTATACAGATTGTTAAGTCAAGTTTATCCGCCAATAGAGCATCCTCACTTTACACAGAAAAGTGAAACATGAAAGCATTGCCTTGAAAACTTTCAGCAACACGTCCTGGGCGTCTAGCTGGTTTCAGAGCTCGTCTAGCTCCTAGCTCCTACTCTTCTTATTATCCTACCGTTTTCAGATTTAAGGGACGTGGAAACATTTGCTTTTGTGCATTTTTTCCCCAACAAAATTGCTCGAAATCATAAGAAGGGTGCATTTAGCGGGCATGCCCATGGTAATGAGGTACACATGCATGATGTGGGAGAAAGAAAGCGTATTTTAGGACCCAGATCCGATTCCATGTCATAAGATCCCTTCAACTCATTCATTACCTGGCCTTAAAAATGTGTGCGGAATAGAAATGACCATTTTTACATTTTAAGAGAGCATCTTCAAATGTTGCCTGTGCAAATTTTCCATAGAGAAGCTTAATGGGGACGGGTATATTTGTCCACGCTTGTGTCTGTCCCTGTTATTGTTCACTATGACAGATTGGTGCAGACAGATCCGGAAAACATTCTTTGTTAATTGATCTTTTGGTCATTGCTAGGGGGGAGTTGAAAAAGCGGAACGGCCAAAGGTTTTAGGGTCATTGCGTTTAAATGGTGATATTCTTTGAACGGATTGAGCAATTTCAGTATTGTTTTCATCTAAAAGTAGCTTATGAAATTGGCTTTCCAGTCATTATTATTTTTGGTGCTACATATCTTTTTAAATATGAAATATATTGTTGGGGGTTTGGGTTCCGTTTTTTTTTGGACTCACCCTGTATCTCTTCATGAACTTCTACGTTTTAGCTATTTTGGGGATATGAGCGGTCGAAATCTGAATGTCAATCTTTTTTTCTCGAAGTGCCCTGTATTAGGGATATACCGTGGAAAGACCTATCTTGTTGAAGTTTCAGCTCAGTGGATACTATACATTTCGAGAAAACAGAGAAAACGTAGACCAGTGCAAGTGACAAGTGACAATAAGTCAGTAGGTTAGTTAAGGCCAAAAAAAGGTCTCCGGTTTCTGGTATGGAGCTTGCCCAAAAAAGTGGTGCGGCGACGCGGCTTATTTTTTTTACCTGATTTGTTTTGCCTCAAATGTCGGCTGATGACTGCAAATGGTGCCCGACTAAACTTAGTGCAAATATATATGGGAGTCCAGAGAGGCCACATAAAGCTTATTCTCGATCATAATTAACCCCATCCAAAAACACGTTAAAATTGTGAAGCAGCAGGATTCCAGTCAAACCAGTGAGTTTGGCGGTTTTGAGACATCATCTTTCATTGAAAAAAACAACTTTTTCATTTTGCCGACGCGCATGTGGCTACGGCGACGCGCGCGCGCATACCAGAAACCGGAGACTTTTTTTTTTGGCCTAGTCTAATTCATAAGTGACAGTGATCGAGCTCGAGTCAGCCAGTCAGTCTCAGTCAGGTACAAAGGAGGTACCAGTCTGGTCATCTGTGATCAACAAAGAATGACAAACGGTGGCCAAGGAATGCAGGACGATCCCTCGAGCCAACTTACCAACTGCTTTCCATTTCCACATTTTGACATGATGTTTAAACAATTTTTTTTTCTCTCGAACTGCACACAATTTTGTTTTGTGAACCAGAATTTCAAATCGAGCTTCCGTGCGTGTCAGACGGTCTTGCATCCATCATGATAGCACTACGAATCACCGATGCCACCCGCACACGAATGCCTGGCTCGCCTATAGCACTAGAGCTACGCAAAGAATGTCGCTTGGATGGTAAGATATGGCAAAATATAGCAGCATATCACAAACAGATACCAGCAAGACTAACAGACAAGGGGGTGGGGTGCGAGCTGGGGCCATGACCCTCCCCCAATTTTCTTTTAAACCAGAAGAGGAGTGAACACGATTTTTTTTTATATGAACATCTCTGGTTTTTCGATATCCCTTTTTCCTCTGCGGATTTTTGTTTCAATTATTGGGGGGGGGGGGGAGGAATGGAAGAGTGCCCTAAGCATCAACAATGGTCTAGCCCCCCCCCCCCCCAATTTGCAGCGGCCAGCTGGCCAGTCCCCCCCCCCCCCCACCTTCCACCTCGAAATTTGAACAATGTGGAGCGACACTGCTGATTGATTTTGCGAATCTTATCGGATTTCCTCAATCTTTGGCCTTGAAAACAATTATTCATATTAGTAGTTAATTGTTTTTCGAGCGTTCATGACATTATATTCTTTGATGACGATTCCCTCTTCAGATGACCAGTCGAGACAGAAATAAAAGAAAAATGTTGTTCATCATAGCGATCTACACTATGACTGGGCTGGTTGCACAACTATCATGTGGTTGAGGCAAACTTCGACATCACAAATAACTCTTTAAGTACACCAACTTTTCATTCATGTTTTCTTGTGGTTTATTGATTTCAGTATTATTTCAGCATATACAAAAAATATAAGGCTTATAAATGCTGAAGTTGCATAAAATCTTCATTAATACTTTGTGATGAGTTGATACAATTTATAAAAGGTATAACAGCAATCATCGTCGAAGCTTTTGTGATACAATTTGCGACAAATAATCTTGTTTGTCATTGTTAATAATTACACACAGCATTAACTGAATGAATGAATCTCACAGTGTTTCACAATTTAGTTTTGACAAAGATTCCTACTGTTATTTTGCAAAAGGTTGTGACGTTTTTATTACTTTTTGGCCTTCTGTCTTCGCAGCAATGCTTAGGGGATAATGAACAAAAATGCTCCATTGGAATTATCAAACTTTTTGTTGAAAACATGCTTGGAATTTTTGGGGAAACAAAAAGTATTTTAGTTTCGTAAAGTTACTCACTAGCTTTTGGGCTAATTGTCTTTGTTTTTTTAGGGGGGGTGCTGGGGTGGGTTGAAAATCTATATAACAATGAAAGCATTCAAAACGCTACTTAAATTTGCTGGAATTAAACAATTTTAGGAACAAAAATAATTCCAGCTGCAAAAAAATGTAAAAACAAAATGACATACTATATGAAACAAAAACAATACTTTGACCTTGACATCTGTTAGGACATGTCATCCACGGCCATCATGTTTAGATTAATCTTTGCCATGCTGCCTTTTCAAATGAATAAACTAGTTTATAGTCGCTGTGTTGTGAATTTACATGAACTTTTCAACAATTGACATTTCCTTTGTACAACATCAAAGGATCGAGTGAACTCCCATTGACAACGAAGTGCCAAAAATTATGTACATATACACAGCTGTATGGGGGCAAGACTGGCCAGATTGGAATGGTATGTGTCATACTGAGCACTAATCATATCAAACTGTGTTGACTGATTTCATTTTGTTTGGCTTTTTGTAGCTATAAGGTAGTCCAATTTGTCCCAGTTTGCATTTAGCAATGTATTGTGTGTTTATGTATTCGAAGCTTGGAAATCCTTCAAAAGGCAGAACAAAAATCTGGACAGAGTCCACCTTAAATGATTCGGAGGAATGTATGGCCTACATTCCATTGATACATTTTATGTCCCAATCATACCGGTCGTGTTTAGGGTAAAGTTATAAATTCCAAAGATCAAACTACTTGTTTATGGGTTCTATCAATTTGGGGTCTACTTTTTCCTGTCCCTGTTTCATATGACATCAATGACTTTATAATTCTGATGCACTCCTTCATACATTCTTCCTCCAAGAATGATTATGAATAGCAAAGTAACTACCCAACAAAATACAAACAAAATTTGTTTTAAGTCATTTTTAATGATAACTTGAATGGCAAATTACAGAGTACCAAGATAACAGGGATAGGACAAAAAGCCACACTTTGGACCCTTAATGTATAGAATATGCAGGGGCGGATCCAGAATTTTTTGCAAGGGGACGGGGTTCATCAGCAAATCAATGCTGAATTGTGGACCGGTTTTTTGTTTGGACGCTTGGCCTTGTAAACTCAATAGGGGAGGGGGTGTCGTACCATACATTTAATCGGGGCGCTGTTAAAATCCGACGATTATTAACAATATATTACAGAATAGTAAACAAACACCCCCCCCAACCAAGCTGGCTCTGTTCATATTTATAAGCTTCAGTTGGAATTTTAAACTTTGGTTAAATCAGTTGGTAACATTTACCAAAAGTCATTTCATTTACCCTTTGATAGCACTTGTACTTCCAGCCAGTAAGTGAGATTGGGGGGGAAAAATTATACATTTGTTGCATAAACATGTACCCATTTACAGTGTGAATCCTAATCTTGGATCACTCCTTCTTAGAACGGAGACACCAGCGTCACATCGTTTCTGAGCCGTTGTTTCTTCCAGCATCCAACAGTCGTTGACTGTATCATATGTTTCTATGGTGTTCAATAGGCTTCTCCCATCATACCTGAAAGTAGAATAACGGAATAAATGATCATTGAAATAAAATCCCTTGACTATGAATTACACTATCATTCTCGTTTGAACTAATCTATCAAATCGGACGTTATTGACTGGTGATGATTTTGTAATTGTAAATTGTTATAATGCACCCATTAGAGATATGCTTGTACATCACAGCGCATTGTTTGAGTCCCATCTTCTTTTACAATCACTAAGGCCGTTTCACACTAGAGCCTCTTACCCCGGGTTGAACTCAACCCCAGGCAAACCCAGTGCCGACCGAGCTGATCTCGCTTGGCTATACTGTTTTGAACCCTGGTGAGAGTTTCAACCAAGGTTGAAAATCTCAACCCTGGTCTGGAGCAGGGTTGAGTTCAACCCGGGGTGAAATCAATCTCAGGATTGACGCGGGGTTGGTGCAGGGTTGCAAAGTTTCAAGTGTGTAAAACTGTAATTTCTTTCCATTGTCTCCACTCTGCCGGTTTCTTCGGGCTTGCAAGCTACAGTGCCTAAGGTGATTTTGAGGAATCCTTGGTTTCATTACCAGTAAGTAAATAATAATGTTTTCAACCCCGCGTCAACCCCGAGATTTGTCTGATGTCAAAAGTCCTATAGTGGTTGAGCCATTTTTGCCAGGGAATAGCCATAACTGTAGACCAATCTGCCTCTACACAAAGTCTACAGGGTATCTTGAATGCAACAACCTCAGTAGTCAAAGTCAGAAGCCTGCCCAGTGTAACAAGTTCCAACAGATAAGAAGGCCAACCTGCCTCAGAGTCTGTGGTTGCCAAGTGCAACAGGAAACAACTGTGGCATTGTTCATTGGGACTAGCTCACATTGTCTCAGAACTGGCAGTTTATGCACTAGTGTTGATGGCCCAATCCAGCAAGGCAACACTGACTACACCTTTCGCACTGGTGTTGTCAAAGGAGCCTGACTACACCATGTTTAAACTCTGGGCCATTTTCTCTTCAAGTGTGTTTGGACATCAAATTTGGTTCACTTTTACCATTTGTGTGCAGTATGAACCAGACTTTAGGCCCCCCAAAAAGTGTCCGGTTGCTGGTATGGAGCTTGCCCAAAAAGTGGTGCGACGACAAGGCTTTTTTTTTTTTACCCGTTTTTTTTTCTTCAAATGTCGGCTGATGACTGCAAATGGTGCCCGACTAAACTTAGTGCAAATATATGGGAGTCCAGAGAGGCCACATAAAGCTTATTCTCGATTGTAACCCCATCTAAAAACATGTTAAAATTGTGCAGCAGCAGGATTCCAGTCAGACCAGTGAGTTTGGTGGTTTGAGACATCATCTTTCATTGGGAAAAAAAAAAATTTTCATTTTGCCGACACGCATGGCTACGGCGACGCGCGCGCATACCAAAAACCGGAGACTTTTTGGGGGGGCCTTAGGGTTAAATTTTTGAGAACTATAGATGTAATGTACATGTATACTTACCCTCCAACTGCACACACTTTGCCTTGAATGGCAACGGCGCCGACATAGCATCTAGACGTGGTCATGCTGGATACCAGTGACCAGGAGTTGGTCCTAGGGTTGTAGCACTCTACCGATGCGAGATGATGGGAACCGTTGTAACCTCCAAACGCATAGATCATATCATTGATGGTAGCAACACCCGCTCCTGAAGGAAGACATATACATGATATTATTAGGTATCCCGCGAGCGCGAGTGGAACACGGAATAATAATGTAGTGCATCTGTGTTTATAACACCTCACCCACAGATTCTGTGTCTTGATTGGCCGAGAGCGAGTCACATGTTACTTTCTAATTTTGCTATCTTTCTGTGCACGGCCAAAAGTACTATGCGCATAGCAAACAAAGTACTATACCATTAGCAACCAAAGTACTATTTCCACGGCGCGGTATTTGTGTGCAAATGCATGCTGGTGTGCGCCTTGTGCGTAGCGTGTATTATTCCAAAGAGAGCGCGCCGCAGACTTGGGTTCAAACATTTCGTGAAGGGGTAGTTTTTAAGAGAGAAATACATTTTCCACCAATTTTGTATTGAAATTGAAGTTTATTTCAATTGTGTTCAGATTTAAATAATTTAAAATATTAAAATCAAGCAGAATCTGTGAGTGAAGTGTTATAAAACAAATATTGAATGCTTTATCTCGTGGTGAAGTAAAACTAGCCTCCCTCGGTGATCCATGGACCATTCTATTTTCCCTCGGCTTCGCCTCGGGAAAATAGAATGTCCATGGATCACCTCGGGAGGCTAGTTTTACTACACCACTCGAAGCATTCAATATTTGTATACTGTTCGGCCTCGTGGTACTTTCCGTGTCTCACGAGTGGGATATCAAATTTATCTTCAAGCAAACTTGACGCACAGTAAAGATGGAACACGCACACGCTACACAAACTTTTCCGCGGTTATCATATTACAAGTACGTGCAGAAGGAACGGCGTGCGCATCTTGGAATAGCGCAATACACAGTGTGCGATACATACAATGCGATTAGGTTTAATATCACAATATTGTTGCCATGGATCAACCAATCAGGATCGAGGATTCAAGTTTGCTTGAAGATAATAGGGCTTGGATGATTTTGCACCAAGATCGAGCTGACCAAAACATGGTAGTCAAGTGACTAAGACATCTACACTATAGTAAGTAATGATTCTTGATTGACATGTGATGACTTGTGATTAACAAAAGATTAACTCACGACTGCCTTTTGACATGTCTTGTGATGACTTGTGATAGACTTGTGATGATTTTTGATGGACTTATGATTACTTGTGATGGAGTTATGATGACTTGTGATTGAGTTATGATGACTTGTGGTGGAGTTATGATGACTTGTAATGACTTGTGATTTAACTTGTGGTAAGACTTGTGATTGACGTGATGACTTATGATCGACTTGTGACAACTTGTGATTGACAAGGGAAGACTCGTTTAGACTTCTGATGGACTTGTGATGACTTGTAAAGACTTGTAATGACCCGTGATGACTTTTGATGAACTTAGGACTTGTGATTGATTGTGATTGACTTGTGATGACTTGTGGTATAACTTGTGATTGACGCGACGACTCGTGATGACTTTTGTTCAACTTGTGACGATTCGTGATTGACAAGTGATGACTCGTTATGACATCTGATGGACTTGTGATTGGCTTGTGAAGACTTGTGATTGGCTTGTGAAGACTTATGACTTCTTGTGACTTCTACTAGTGACTTTTAATGACTTGTGATGAAATACCTGATCGATTGACATTCATAGAAGCCACAGCTGACCACTGGCCACTTCTAGGATCCAACATCTCTACAGAGTCCAGTATACTGCTACCGTCGTAACCACCAATGCTGTAAAGGGCAGAGTTTCCTGTGGTCAAACCGGCACCCTCTCGTCCAGCGTTCATGTCCTGAGTCATCGTCCAGCGGTCAATGTGTGGATCATAGCACTCAACAGATTTCAGGCGACTACTTCCGTCAAAACCTCCGGCAGCATAGATCACATCTGGGAGAAGAAAAGCATGAGTTGTCATGTTTTTTGTACTTGGCAACCAATCATGAATGCTCCATGTATAAGGCGGTACCCACTGCGTACACACACGTAGCCCTGTGCCGACATCCGATATTCCTAGGCTTAGCCCTGTTCTTTAGAATTTCCGTTGTGGGATACCATTGTATTCTTTGTTGTGGGTACCCCACAAGGTGACTCTTACAAAAACACTAGTTGGTGCATCTAGGGTACAAAGTATGCAGGATCAGTTTTCATCTGATGTTCACAATCACTAAGTTAACATCTCCAAATTAGTGCTGAGCATAAAATGGAGGCAATATGTATTCAAGAGTGACTTCAAACTCTCTCTGTCATCGATAAGGGGGTACTTTCCCCACAGACTTTATACAGCTGAGCTTGTATCTGCATTCTGTTTAATTTTTAAACTGCAGAACATACAGCATTTGGGTTCCCACTAAAGTAACTTCTGTAGTAGTAGTAAGGTCTGTCATGAGCCAGTATGGCGCATCAGGCCTCGTTTATCTCCAGTTTCCTGGGCGTGAAACCACTGAGTATATTTCTATTCCCCCTGGATGGGATGCCAGTCCATAGCAAGCTACTCCCAGCTAATGCTGGTACCCATTTATAAATACTCCTGGGTGGAGAGAGGCAAGTGAGGTAAAATGGATTGCCCAAGGACACAGTATATAACCAGCAGCCGGATTCGAACCCCTGACCCTCTGATCATGAGTCACGAACCCAAACCACTAGGCCACACTCCCCACTAACTTCTAAATTACAACTGATGTATTATTTCAGGGCTTGGGGGATATATTGGACCTTCCCTATCCTCGTTCCTCATCCATGCACCCCTCCCCACGGATACACACCCTTGCCTATTGCTACTAGCTAGGATGCTTCTTCAATGCTGAACTAATCATACTTGGATTTAGATGACTCCATCGATCAGTCTGAGCGTGAAGTGAAATCAGTGGTGCAAAAACCCAGACTGAAACCACAAACATTACTGGACCGAGCCCAGTCTAATGTGGCTTTCTTAGATGTAGGTAGCTCTCCAGCACTTAAAGCTACAGTCCATCATTTGTAATTTGTGCATTTTGTTCGTTTGAAGCAACAAAAGAGTTCAAAATCTAATGAAGGATACTGAGCAACTAACGTGATGAAGTTTCAGCTCAGCTTCAGCTGTACATTCCGAGAAAAACAGCATTCTAAGATCTCAATTTCAAATCAAATTAAGTTACTGAATCATGTTTTGAATTGTTTTGAATTGCAGCTATACGCGGCGTCGCGCACTGATCCGACGAATTATACCAACCGCGCGCGCGTGTGCGTCGTTCCAATACTTGTGCGCGCTGCGCTGAATAACAAAACGAACTACTAATTTAAATTTTCCTACGGTGCTTCTTAAGAATCACCGTTGGAAATGCCTTCTTTCGTTGATTACTTCAAAATGACAGCTTCCCAGAAAGAATAATTTCACAGGGAGTTTAGTCCCCTTACTATCTTTCAACCAAGTTTGTTTTTCAACAGTAATTACGCCAGTTACTTTTCGGATGGCTGCAAATGATGGACTATAGCTTTAACTGGTTCGTCACTCGTCACTCAAATTCTGATAGGAGGCAGGTGGCTCTGGACAACGAGGCACATACATTGGGAATAGCCTGACTGTATTATCATGGAGCTATAAAAAAAGGCTCCACGGTATGATCAAGGACAAACCATGCACTGCCACCGTATATATGTGAACATATTTATGGTCGTTAACTGATTGAGAAGCCATTATCTCAGTAGGGTGCTCATGAATGCGAACCCGGGAATCCCGGGTTCGCGAAAGCCACATTAGACTGGGCTTGCATGGTCCAGTAATGATGCAGTTGATTGAAATCATCATACAATGAGCTCACCATTGAGAACGGTTGACCCAGGCAGACCTCTCTTCTGATTCAGCGAAGCCATGGACGTCCAGGAAGGTTGACCGTCAGTGAACTTGAGACACTCCACAATGTTGAGTCTTGTGGTGCCATCGTAACCCCCAATAGTGTAGATACGAGCGTCGTGCATCACTGCTGCCAGATAGCGTCGTCTCCTACTCAAATCCTGCGGCACAGTAAACAGGAGAAGTAAGATTCAAAGTTTGCATGGTGCTTCGGGCGTTGCCAGACTAACTTAAATGGGGGTGTGACAACAAAATTGCTGACAGACCCTCTGTGCTGAAAGTGGAGGTGGGGAATACGAAAATGACATTATCTGACTAGTGGGGGCACTGTTCAAAGTGGACGAGACTGACACTATCGAACAATAGATTGACTAGTGGGGGCACTGTTCAAGTGGACGAGACTGACACTATCGCACAATAGGTGGCACTATTCACTGCATTACTACTATGAAGTTTGCCAACAGGACGACATTTTGTCAACAAAAGCAAACAAATGGGGGTTGTGACTAGGCATGTATGACTAGTGCGACTAGTCACCAATGCTAAAAAGCATTAGTAGTCGTGACCATTAATTTCTAAAAAGTAGACAAGTCGTTATGCCGTCACTAGTTATTCTTCTATGCCGTGACTAGTAGTTGCACCGCGACTACCGATCTTTGCCTCGCGACTTTCATCGCAATCTTCCTTTACTGTTTCTGTACACAATATGTAAACAATTCTGTCAAAATATCCCTAAACAAAATGGAACCGTCTGATCATGGCGACCTGCCTTGCCTGTCGTTTTTTTCTTCCCATAAAATGCTTATTGCTCAAGTGCAGTCCCACATGTTAGATCTATTGCTCCATTGACCAGAGGTATTACTAGATAAATAAATAATGTGTTACTAGTGACGACTTGTCGACTAGCCGTAACTTTTTATCACAACTACTAGTCGCGACTATTTATAAATTCAGGAGTTGCCCACTCCTAGTTGTGACAGCATTAGTTTACTAATTAATGGTCCTCGATAGAATTATGGAGTAAAGTGACTCACAGGCAGGGAGTGCCACTGCTTTGTCTTTGGGTTGTACTCCTCCACAACAGTCAGAGGCACCTGTTGGCTTCCGAATCCACCAATCACAACCAGCCGCTCATCCCCACCTGTACCAGATTTTCCATGTGGAAATATAAAAGAACAGTGTTAATTCGAAGTTGAAACCGAAACAACATAGCTGACATATAAAAATCTACACTGAAAATGGGTTCGGATGCAATTTCTTCACAATTATTTACGTTATTTTTGATCACTCTAAGTAAAGACAAAGTAACGACAAAGGCGGGGCGAAGCCAGTAAAAGCCCGGGTCACCATCCCCTACGTTGCCGGACTGTCTGAACGGTTCAAGAACTCTTTCAAGTCACGTGGCATTGCCACTTGCTTCAAACCGTTCAACACCTTACGAGGGAAAGTAGTTCAAGTGAAGAACAGACAGCCCAAAGATACACGCTCCAACGTGGTATACGGTATCATCTGCGGGGATTAAGACTGCACGGAGTCTTACGTTGGGGAAACCAAACAATCCCTAAAATCCAGGACCTACCAACATCGGCGGCCTAGCACAAACGAGGCACAAAACTCTGCTGTCTTCTTACACCTACGAGACTCTGGTCACACTCTCAGAAATGAGGATGTTGTGATCCTTGATAAGGAAGAGCAGTGGCACAAAAGAGGCATCAAGGAAGCCATCTGGGAAAGGGTCGAACAACCAACACTCAACAAAAGAGGGGGGCTACGCTTCAACCTATCACATGCTTGGGACCGGGCCATTCAAGGGATTCCTAGCCGTCTCTCACGTGATCAGTCCACCGGGTCACCAGTTGCCTGACGAAGTCCGATGGTTTCGGACGCAACGTTCCAGTATTCGATTCAATTAAGAAAAATCATCAACTTCTACTGGATGACCGATAACATACATTATCATGCTCACTCTAACTGTTTTAATACGTGCGATATGGCATTCAAATGTGTCTTATAAAACTCTTTAATCATTGAGGAGTACTTAATATACTTGGGTGCATAAAACCCACCGTACTTACCAGTTCTGGGCTGGAAGGTAGTCCCTGTCATCTCAGCTCTACAATCTGGCCGCAGGTGAAACCGCTTTCCTTCATCGACAAGATCCCGACAAGCCAAGCTCTGCCTGATCAAGGGCTGCATGCAACAAATCAGTTCAGTAATTAATTTTACTACACTCATCTCTTCTGACTTTTGCTACTGAGCAGTAAATACCGAAAATGATGTGCTTAGCAAGTATCAGCTGAGAACCAGTCATAAGCAGTATGCCTATCAAGCAGTTTCGGCTGGTAAACTGGTTTTGCTAAGCAATTACTTTCTGTGCTTTGCAAATTTCTATGTTTAGAAGTTCCATGTTATTGCCTCAGGTGGCATATCACACAAACCACACTTATTTGAAACCTTATCAACTTTATATTTGCCCTTGCATTTGCACTAAGAAACTTCCTGACTTCTCCAAAATCAAACAGTCCGTGTGAGAAACCATGGCACAGACTCTTTGTACTTAACATTTCAAGGGGCATCAAGTCCCATTATCATGTAATACGTGGCTGGGCTCCACCTTCAAAATCCTCCACTAGAGTAGGAAACCTACAGCACTTATTGATACCTACTAAGTTTCAAGTGGTATCAAGTCCCATGTTAAGTAATAAAGGCTGGGCTCCACCTTCGTCAATCCTGCAAAATCCTACAAAACCTCCTGGCGGGGTGGATTTTGAAGGATTGGGAAGAGGTAGGGTTTAGTGGCCAAACGGGTGCAGATGCAGGTTGAATAATTGCCAACCTCTGCCAATGGCACTAAGCCCTTTTGATTTTTCATTTAAGCAGCACATGAAAATTTGTGTATTAAATATATTTACCTCCTTGTCAAGGACGTCAGTAATGAACTTGGGTGTCATGAGCGGGACACGTATGTGTTGGAGTAGTTTGGGCAGTTGGTCATCTCTCTCTGCTGTGTTATGGTTGATCCAACTCATTACAGCTTGATATAAAGGTTCCTCACTTTCCACCTGATGGTACATTTAAAATACATGAGAGTACATGGCTTGAAATATCTCCTGGACCACTGGACTGAATCCAGCATTTTAGGCATCAGTCTAAGATGTTTTCTTGGCCAGTCTAGCAGTTTTTTTTACACCACTGATAATTCACCAAACGATCCATTAGCTCAGGGTTCTTAGCACTGCATGAAAACAAAATTGCCTGAGTTTTCCTTAAGCAATTTGTAAAATTCCATGAGAAATGTTTTCATTTATACATGTAAAGCGCATGTGTCTACCAATATCGGTGCTCAAGGTACTACATCATTATTACCCCGCTCATTGGGCCAATGAAACATTCCAAAGACATTCTCAGCTTCCTGGGGAGTACAATGTATATTATATACAGCTTGATGCAGCCATTTCGGTGCAAGGAAGCTATTCAATCACAATAACCATCTCTACCCTCACAGGTACCCATTTACTCCTGGGTAGAGAGAAGCAATGAGTGACAAAGTGCCTTGCCAAACGGCACACACGCACCATAACCACAGGCTGGACTCGAACCCACAACCTGCAGAATTACACCGGCAGACCACAAATTCAATGCTCCAGACCAAGAGGCCATATGGCACTCAACCTCCCACAAAGTTGCTGGGAAGTCAAGAGGTGGTTGCAGCAATGCAGTCACTGCTAATGCATGCACATGCCCTAGGAGCTTATAATTGCACGATCAACCTATGAACACACACATGCAGACAGTCATGTTTTACTATACTCTCGAGGACAATGCTTTGTGTTTCCCTTTGTCCCTGTAATATAACACTCTCCCATAGACTAAGCACACAAACATACTACAGAGGACCATTTCAAATACAAGACCCAACTCCCGAGGACTTAAGGGATCTGTTGTTCTCCCTTTGTGGGTTGGTCTTCGGGCATTATGTAGCACACGTACAATGGCATTTTGTAAAGTATAGCAGGGATTATCATATCACATTTAAGTTTTGTTATGAGTAGTTGTCATATGAACTCCTTTTATATACTTTTTTGTATTTTAGCACTGCTCACTGAAAGACAGCTGTGGATAAAAAAATTAATAATAACGATAATAAAAAAAAATCCTACCTCAAGGTTATCTCTCTGGATCAGCTTTGCCACTTCATCCGCATCCAAGGCCAAGTATTCTTCGTGGGTAACTACTTGGGTGAAGTAACAGGAACAATATCCCTCTGCAGCATTTTGGAGTTCTACACAAGCATGACTCTCGGCAAACTTGGCAATTCCAAGGCAGTTAGAAGGGTCCAGTTGCTTAGTGAGAAAGGCACAGCATGCATCTTCAACACCTGAGGGAAACATTTTTGTAGATGTTGGTAAGCCATACAACTTGGAGGGTGGAATTAGACACAAAGACCGTTTGGACTAGATGAATTTAGCACCGTCAATTTTTGAGCTACATTACGTACATTGTATCAAATTGTTAAATTCCTTCACTAATTTCGAACGCACTTACAGTGTTAAATTTGACCATGTACATGTTGGTTTTTTTCTTCAGATAATGAGGTAAATATAGTCCAAAAAATGTCCAGATGTTGCTAAATACAAATCAAGCACAATGCAATTTTTTTTTTAGTGTTGATATCATGCAGTTTTCTTTTGTCGTCTTGCTTGCTTTTAAGGGCAAGTCAAAGAAAAGGTCCATTTTTGTCACAAACATGTTTCTTTCATTATATAAATAATCATCGCAAATACTAAAAAAAATTCTTTGTAGGTATTCTCCTCGCGGATGCCCAACGGTAGAAAAAATAACACTGAAATTCATGAATATCTTAAAGGGTTATACTTTGGTTACATACATGTATGGAACATAGCGTGCACAAATTCTTGCGACTTGCCCTTCAACCCAAAAAAAAAAAAAAAAGCATTTTTTGCTTTTTTGACATGTATCGTGTTTCTTTAATTCTGATTGGGTCCACTTTCAACCAAATTCTCTTCACAACATTTAGGTTTGAAAACTTCTAATTCTCATTTGTTCGAATCCTTCGATGCCAAGGTAATGTGGTGTTATTTGCACAGGTCTGCAAGAGCTCAGTCTCAATCACTGGTGGAACTATACTGTTCAATTTGCAGGGGATTTTTTTTTCTTAGCAGGTCTTCATTTTCTGGAGAGGGGCATAGTTTCTTTTTTATTCTTCCGAATTTCTGAGAGGGGGGGGGGAGCACAAGTTGCACAGGCCTTCAGTTATGGGATGAATTTACTATGAACATCTGATCCCTTAAATTTTCATTAAAAGTCCATTTCTCCATGAAAAGAATCTTTAAGAGATGTTTCATGGATATTTACATGGGGCTTATACTATAGACTAATCCTGTAAGGGTATTTTCACGGTTTTTTAATGACCCTGGCCACTGAGGATTATCATTGGTTATACACAACGGTACACTGGTTCTATCTCCATGGGTAAACAAAGGACTTTCTTAAGGGTGTTTTCACGGACTCCTAATCTGGCTTAAAATGTTGAAAAATCCGTGAAAATTTAGTTAACTGTAATTTCAAGAGAAAATGGCTCTTTAACGAATTTTTAAGGGATGAAGATGTTCATAGTCCTAAAATCTACCAGGAGCTGATTTCTTATACCAAGACTAACCTTTCAGCTGTAAGAGACAAGCAGATGGCAGTAATTCTTGAACGTTCTCCACCGTTACCGCCACTTCTTCAGTGTATATGAATTGTAGCAGGATTTCCATTGCACTGGCTTTCAGGCCTTGAAGTTCTACACTTGGTTTGGCACTTTCACTCATCTGATAAAGAAAAACACAATTTTTCGTTTCAAGATTTGGTTAGCCCTTTACTTACACGTTACATGTACATGTATACATGAATAAAATATGTAAATGCAGCCAAATTCCATCAAATTGAAAATGGGGTCATGTTAAAATCACAAGTTGTAGCATGCGTGTTGTCAGTCACATCACAAAGCTCTTTTTGTTTTTTTGATGTACAGAAATTAATTCGTTATATTAAAGTAAATAACAATGTATGGATTAATTTGGCGAACAAAATTAGAAGCCATTTCTGAAGTGGCACCTCATATGCTCATGCCACACGCATTCTTAAAGAAGAGGCACGCACGCATATTGGTAAAACTACTGGTCAAAAGTACTACCTGAGAACGACGGTGCACAAGCACTGGTGCCACGTACCTCAGAAAATGGCATTTACAAAATAAGTCTATATAAGGCAAAAAATAAAAAGTAGTCTGTCTCTGGTCCGACCAAAGTTCCGGAATTGATGCGGCGACGCGTTTTTTTTGGGGGGGGGGGGCTTTTTTTTTCAAGCTTGGATTGTACAGACAAGGTGGGTACTATTTTGCTTTTTTGGTCCTCATATCCATTGGTGTCCTCCATCATTTGCCCAATGGTGCCCTCCATCACTTGCCTTTGTGCAATTTCCCCATTCCTTGGTGCTCCTTGGTACAAACATTTCAGGCGGTGCAGCAATTGAGATTGCTGTTGTAGCTACCGCGGAAAATTTGAAAAAAAAGAAGCTTGACGCGCATGATTAAAATCGACGCGCGTGCTGATCAGAGACCGACTATTTTTTATTTTTGGCCTAAGACCATTATCTGCAAATTTTCAAATGGTTTGGCCACATGACACTAAATCTGTTTTGTGGGTTATGTGCATGTGGCTCTGCAAAGAATTACATGTAAACTCAATATCTCCCAACAACAAAAAACATGCTTTCCGAAACATTAAATTAACACAGGTTTCTCTTTAACAGAACACCACCATTCACACAAGAAATGTATTGTCACGTGATAAAGTCCATCAACAGTTCAAATGACAATGTCAACGAATATCTTTGTCACATATGTGATGCGATCAAGCTAAATGAGTCGTTTGTCGACCCTGGTCAAAAAATTTTTATTACAGATTTGAAAAGAGCACAATCTCAGCATTACTGCTGTGAAAACCGCATGCTGATACCATCTTTATTTCAAAAATCATAGAAGTCGGAACACCAAGAGATGTGATGAAGTGACGTGATGAAGTGGGCCTATTTTGGCCTGTATCTCCAAATGAAAATTCCCGACAAACAACTCATGTAACTTGATCCCATCATATATAGTTTGTGACTTGACTTGCAAGTGACAGACTTGACTATTGCCCTAAATGCCCCTGCAAATGCAATGAAATCTGCAACATTTTGCTCTATGGTCAGAACTTGACACTGACTTGTGAGGAAATGTTTTGTACATGCATGTATTCAAGTCATTCACAAGTCAAATCACAAGTTAAAAGGATATGAACAATGACAAAGAGAAGTTTCACTATAGCTTGTGGCTTGACTGGAGATCGGATGACGTGTGACTAGTACACGACTCGATTCCAACTCTGTTGAGAGGAATTGACTTGAACTCAACATGGTGTCACACAAATGTAACCTGTTCTGTCAAAATCAGACTTTTCTGGCATAACATGCATAAGGTCAAAAATGAGATTTTTGCATATTGTTAAAATATGTCCTGTTTCCTTTTAATAGGTGGTTTAATTTTTGAAACCGGTCATTCCTGCGCAAAGTTATGCTATTTTGAAGTTCATTGGGTCAAAAAGTAGAAAACAGAGAAAATGGACACGAACGTCACAAAACAGACATTTCTTTAACTGATATACCTTAACAAATCATCAAAAATACTATAATTAGAGATCAAATTAGGCTTTCAAACTTTTATAGTATATTTTAGACATGCTCAGGATTACAAATATGCAAAAATTAGAAAATGGAAAAAAATCACCCCCACAGCGTTTTTTGGCCCTTTATCTCAATTTCAACCTCTACCCAGAAGCGTCTGCTTTTGACAGAACAGCTCACAAATGTTCCACTTATCACAAATCCAAGAACAATTCCACCTACCTCGTTTGTAAACATTGCACAGAAGTAGGGGCTACACGCCGCCAGGATCACACGATGGGCGGGAAACTCCGTCCCCTCCACAACCACGGTGACATCACAGAGTAAAGACTGTCTTCGCAGGCTGTTTAGAGTCTGCAGCATCGTTTTACTGTGGCTACCAGTAAAGGAATGCAACTTTTTGTCTTCATTTGTCGAGGACGAGGAGACATCGTTGCTTTGCTGTGAGGTGTCGGTTGCCATTCTGGTTGATGGGTACAGCTTCATCAGCTAAAGCAAACGGTTCACTGAAATGTACAAATAGAAAGTGCAGTGAACTTCTGTGATGGTTGATCATGTGTAAAGTGCTTGTCCAAAACAAATTGAAAGTCCTTGACTTTTGATACAATTGGTTATCAACTTAACCGCAGACAAAACTGAACAGGTGTTTTGTATTTTAAGAAAACAATGGGATCAAAAATAGGAGGAAATACTTTTTAGATGATAAAAATGAACTTAAAGTTGGACTTGCACCTTGTCACAGGCAAAATAGTTGTGTTAATATTCCAAAGAGTATGCACCATGTAATACAATTCTGATGTGTACAATCAGTAACTTCCATCACGTTTACAGTTAAAGTTTTTTTCATGGAATATGTCCAGTAATGTTTTTTTTGTGTGTGGTGGGGGATAATGCTTAGAGTTACCATATAAAACATTTCTGGCAAGTCAAAAAAAATGTAATTTAAAACAAAATTGACATAAGCTTACCTCATAAAATGTTGCAGTTGCAGGTTAACTTGGAAAGATACGGTGACAGGAATGCACACCTCTGCACCACACACTGCTGAGGTGGTTTTTAAATTCCAAAATGCACTTTTTTTCTAACAAGGGCTGTGGTGCTACTTTGAGTGAGTTGTACCGATTTCAACTCGTACTCGTCATTCCCTCAAGTTGCACGAGATAACAACAAATGCAATTTTTTCTTCATACGCGTACACATGTACATGCAGTCCCCCTAAAAACGACCACAGCATACATATACGTACTGTACATGTACATGTACATGTACAATAAACTGATCAACACACAACTGTTCATTTTTTACAACTGTGTGGCATTTCACTGCGCGTCTGCCTTTGTTGGTCCAGGGGTAGAATATAATTGTTCACGGCCGACTGAGCGAAGACCTATAATGCCTGGCCGTGAGCCGATTTTTCTAACACGCTTCATTTGAAAGGCATTTTGCAAACATTCCTGTAGGCCACACAAACAGTTTGATTCAGGCCAGCGCACACACGCACACAATCCAATACCAGGGGGCCAAAATACGTCCTTCCTTCCTTCCTTCCTTAAAGTGCAGCCTCATAATTGTATGCGGATAAATGCACTGTGGTACTTTGCCTTGACAATTGTATAAACTGATTGATATGGAAAGTTGTGCAGTTGATTATTATTCAAAACGGTTTCTGGTACTTTTTGCATGGGGTGTTTCAGTTGTGAGGAAAGGGGCATAATATCTGTGAGTGGTACTGAAAAGGCCAATAGGATAATTGTTATTAAACATGGATGCGGCAGACTCGGCCACACATGCCAAGGGTTGGCAACCGCCACTATTTAGCACATCAACATGGCTTCTGATCATCACAGCCTGTGTTCTCCTATTTGTCTACGATTACTGGAGACATCATTATCTGGCAAGATTGGGTATTCCCGGGGGAAGCGGGAAACCGTTTATCGGTAACACCCTGGACTTCTTTTGCAGCAAAGATGGAATACAAGGCTACCACGAGAAGCACTTTGCCCGCTACGGAAAAATGTTTGGTTTTTATATGGGCTGGCGCCCTGGACTAGTGACTGCAGATGTCGATTTGGTCCGATTGATGTGCATCAAAGATCACGCCAGTTTCACCAATCGGAAAAAGCAGCTGATTGACAACAAGCCATTTGACAAGTCACTGACTTTCCTGAGAGATGACCATTGGAAGGACGTACGTGGAATCCTCAGTCCAACATTCAGCGGCTCCAAGATGAAGCTGATGGCGCCACTCATCAATGACTGCCTCGATCCTATGATCAGGAAAGTTGCCAAGCACCACGAAGAAGGCAAGAGTTTACAAATGAAAGATATCTATGGTGGATATCTGATTGATGCTATCGGCAACTGCGCTTTCGGTCTGACTCTGAACTCGCAGGAAACTGAAAACGACCCCTTTCTCTTCAATGCCAAAGATATTTTCAAGTTTAGATTCAACTTCACGATCTTCGTTTCGGTGTTTTTACCATTCCTGGCTCCTGTGCTGAACTATTTCGGTGCGACTACCTTCAGACCGTCAACTATGAATTTCTTTGAGAACATCATGGACCAGGCAGTGGAACTTCGGAGGAGTGGAGCGGAGCGGAGATTGGATTTCCTGCAGCTTATGCTAGACGCCCACAAGAAATCCGACCTGACGGCTGAAGACAAGGAACAGGCGACCGAGGAAGAGAAGTTGGAAGAGGAGCACCGCAAGCACATGAGCAAGAAATCCCTGACGATGGATGAACTCAAATCACAATCATTGACCTTCTTCCTCGTCGGCTACGAGACCTCCAGCAACACGCTGGGCTTCGCCTCCTATCTCCTGGCAACCAACCCGGAAGTTCAGGACAAGTTGGTGAACGAGATTGACACCCTGGCCCCCGGACGCGACGACCTCACCTATGAGAGTATCACCAAGATGACCTATCTGGACCAGGTCATAATGGAGACGCTCCGAGTGTATCCTCCCGCCATCCTCACTTCCCGTGAGGCCAACCAGGACTACCAGTATCAAGGGTACACCATTCCCGAAGGCATAGAGGTCTTCATGTCAGTCTGGCAGATCCATCATGATCCGGAGCTGTGGGAGAACCCGGACAAGTTCGACCCCGACAGGTTCACACCAGAGCAACGCGAGAACCGCCATCCATGCGCTTGGATTCCATTTGGAGTTGGCCCTCGCAGCTGCGTTGGAATGCGCTTCGCACTGCTGCAGACTAAAATGGGATTGGTTCGGATGCTGCAAAACTTCCGCCTGGAGACTTGTGCAGAGACCGAGATACCGCCAGTTCTAATTCTCGGCAAGTTTGCATCCCTGAATCCAGCCAACGGTTTCAAACTGTCGGCTGTTCCTCGATTCTAAGGACCTTGCCAAGAGGGCTGGACGCTCAGCATTGGAAGATCACGTTAGAACCGGAGTTCTAACATGATATGATAACATTTACCACGTAATTTCCAAGTTAAGTCACCATCTATTTGGTCAAACAGATTTAACATTTTCTTAAGTATCACGGCTGGAACCTCACCGATAGCTTATGAATTCATGTAAATTAGCCCTAAAAGGGCCGGGGGGGGGGGGGGTGTGGAATCGCCCCCCCCCCCTCAACTTTTTCCGCGATAGCCTTTAAAAAAAAATTTTCGCGACCCGAGCTGTTATGAACTTTTTAGCCTCGAGCCTTGCGCATCTTTTGATACCAAAAACTAAAAATCGGACAACGGGTTGCTGCGCAGCGGAAAATTTTCCGGCACCATGCACCATAAAAACTGAATTTTCCCATATACGTCGTGTACACAGTGCAGAATTACCATTTGTACAGTATATGAATAATTAATCAGCCATAATTCCAAAACCATATTTTGCCCTATATAGTCATGACATTTCTTGGGTATGTTCATGAATAGTTGCTCTATGCATGTACCGAGTTTCAAAAAATTTTGTCAATCGATGGCTGAGATCTTAGATATTATTATTAATATTATTGTAACAATATGTAATTTTTAAAGGTTTTCATGTTTTTTAATTAATGGGTTTTTTTAATGATTGGTAAGCGCCTTGAACGTCATTTTGAAGGATTTGGCGCTATATTAGATTATTATTATTATCATTTGCATTTTATCCCAAAAGTTGAAAAGCAATCTACATGTACTGAATTATTATCAAGAAGCTTATTGGGATATATACTGGTACTTAACACCCCATGAAATTATTCCTTCTGGCTTGCCGCCAATTAGAAGAAATCAAGAAATGTAGGCAATTTCCAAATATCAGTCAGTTGACTGATTTTTGGAAATACAGGGTGATATGGACGAAATCTTGTTTCGTGATGAAAAGGCTGTGTGGTTTCTCACTGTTTTCTCGAAAAGTGTTATACATGTATCCACCGAGCTGAAACTTCAACAGGTTTAGGTTTTGAACATTCTTCCTTGGATTTTGTGTGGTGTTACTATTGGAAACGAACAAAAGGAATACAATGCAAATGATCCCTTGCCTTTAATCGGCCTGTGCAGTGACACAACATTATATAACCGACATACAGATCCTCGTCATTTGATTGGTGGAACTCACATCACATGACATTCGTTATTACTCCCATTCACGCCAGGGCTCAAAAAGTCCCATTCGCCCATGGGGTATGGGAAATATTATTGAACAGTTACATGTAGGATCGATGCTTATTCCATGATGCGGTATTTGTGTGCAAATGCATGCTGGTGTGCACGTTCAGCGTTGCGTGTATTGTTCCAAAGAGCCAGTGCTACAGAGTTGGGTTCAAACATTTTCATGAAGGGGTGGTTTGGAAGAGAAAAACACATTTTCCACCCATTTTGTATTGAAATAAAACATCAAATATATCAAAGACAAGGATCTATATGTCAGATATATAAAACAAATATTGAGTGGCTTTAAATTGTGAAATGGGAGGAATATTATCGCTCGGTAAAATCTGGACTTTTCCAGTTCACAAGGTGAAGGAAAAGTCCAGATTTTACCTTGTGATAATATTCCTCCCATTTCACAATTTAAAGCCACTCAATATTTGTATAATGTACATCTACCTACATGTAGGTTATGATGGTCGAATGTATGTCAGTTGACATGAACTGGAGTCTTTTTTCACAGGATAAATTAAAGTCTTTCAAGAAAGCTGAATATTGAGTCATTTTTTGGAACATAACACATGATGTCATATACTTATAAAACAGCAGAGTTGCAAACAAGTCATCAAAAGCCAAGAACCCCTTTAAGTGATTTACTAGGAACCTTCCTCACTCTTGCAAAATTTAACATGGTAAACTCTACACCCAAACTATTGGACTCTGATTATGGTGGTATGCCTGACCCCATGTAAAGCATAATCAGTTTACTAGTGCAGTACTCACTCCAACAGATTCCAACAAAACGTGCAGTTGAAGTTTGAAGGGTTAGGGTTCATTCTGTCTCAAGTCAACGTTAATACAAATGAACTGTGCACACAAAGAAATTGTTCCTTTCTCATTGTTACCTTTGACCTGATTTGTGGTTTGCCTACCAATGGACTAGATATTGACTACAATGCACTACGTGTTAAAAAAACATGTCTTATATTTGATCCTAAATAACTGTTGTTTACCAATGGAACTAAACCAAAATTTCAGATCATGTAAACAAGTGGCGAATTTTATGGAGCGAGTTTCATCAGCTTTGGGCAAGACCGTCAGATTTAAACGCCATATGAAAAAATACTCACTTTCAGAATCTGCCACTTTCGCCTTGGCGTCCTCCAATGTCGTTACAGCGCTGGAGATGGTGGTGGAAGGCATGTGTTGCAGCCAAAAGATTCTGAAGGAATGCAGGATCACCCCTGATGCACACCTCCTCGATCATGTGGCTCAACACACGATTGAGGAGGTGTGCGATGACATCAGGGGTGATCCTGCATTCCTTCAGAAGCTTTCAGCCGCAGCGCGCGCCTTCCAGTTCCACCACCGTCATCAGTGCTGTATCAACATTCTGAAAGTGAATATTTTTTTTCGTATGGCATTTAAATCTCACCCTCTTGCACAAAGCTGATGAAACTCGTTACATAAAATTTGTCATGCCTTCTTTACATGATCTGAAATTTTGGTTTAATTCCATTGGTAAACACCAGAGTTATTTAGGATCAAAGTAGGACAGTTTTTCTTACACATAGAAGTATGTACCTATGATCAAATTTTGATTTGACTTGTGATTGACTTGCCACCGAATTGTGATTGACCAGTAGCTAGCCAGACTTGACCCTTGTGTAAACAAGTGTAAACCAACAAGATCAAGATCATGGATTAAAACAAAAATGTACAGGTTTTTTTTTTACAATTCAAAACAACTGTAGAGAGTTCAGTATTTATTATACAGATAAGAAACTCAAAATGAAACCCAAATATACATGTACATGGACAATGAACAATTTCAATTGTTCTAAAAATTCTCATTAAAATATATACAGTGAGTAAAAATGTTCTTTACATATAGACATGATGCAGATTCAAAATAAATTGTTGATAGAATGTAGTGTACAACATATTGAGGCGTTCTGGCAAAATGAGACAGAACTGGGCAGAGGGTGAAGTGAGGGTTTGTGGGTATGAGGAAAGAGGATGAAATTCTCCTTACAATACTGTTTGAGCACACGTAGTTAAAGTAAAATACTGAGAAAAAAGGCCTTTAAATATTTTGAATTTTGTATTCCTGAAAATGAAAGATGCCAATTTCCTTAAAAACACTTCTATTCCAAATATTTATAACTCTTTAACGTATGTGTGGTAGCCATATCAAAGATTAAAAATATGAATAAATCAGAAATTCGAAAGAAAAAAAAATCACCCTACATGTACATGTACATGCATTTGGTTTTTTACATTTTTCCTCCACTTTGGCTTTTCATTTTTTCCTAAAAACACTTTTATTCCATGATTTTTATACTTTTTCTTCAAAGTATGTGTAGTAGACATATCAAAGATTACAAATATCAATAAATCTGATGAAAAACAAAATCAACCCCACTATTTCTTTTTTTTTTTCCTTTTCTCCACTACTGCCTGTGCCCATTTCTGTCTCATTTTGCCAAAACACAAAATAGTCTCTCCCTAGCCACCATGAAGTTTTGGTCATCCTACTTGGATTTACGTCAATAACAAAAATTGCCATTGTTTTACTACCGGCAAAAATATTCAACATTCAACATTGTAAGCGTAGTACAGAAAGATAAAGCCCCTGAACATCTTCAGAGTTTCAATCAATTATCGCTTTTTGTTGACCCCAGAAACATGTTAAAGTGAACTTGAGATTTCAAAGCAAATACAAAAAGCTATCCTTTTAAAAGCTGTGCATTTTAAAACAGTTACTTTTGGTAAAATTGTCTTAAAATATTTAGGTTTCTGAACTTTTCACAATATGTGCAAATTTTGTAGTTTACATGTACATGTACATGTAGTTCAAAAAATACTCTTTGGAGACTCAATGTTAAGGTATACATATACATACATGTATGTAGGACTAAAATCAGGGACACTTATATCGTTATAACACGACATATGTACTCAAATCATTTTTCATGACAATTTACTTGAAAGTGCAAAAAAAATCTGTCTGAAATTCAACGTTGTGTACAAATCTATTACACAATTACATGTACTCACATGACATTTCATTTTGATGCAAGCAGTTAAAAAAATCTTAAATTTCTAAATTAATGTAATTTAGATTTTAGAAATACATGTTATAAAGTCATTTCTAAATTAATTTCTAAAATACATGTTGCTAAAATACATGAATAAATTTGAGCATTGTTCTTACATTCCAGTTTAAAATTCGGCAAACTGTGTTTAATTTTATGATTTCTTGGTCATTCATGTGTAACTGCATTTTCCATTAAAAACATTATCATTGCATATTAGGCCTATGTGGTTCACTCCATATTAATTTTGTTGGTCAATATTTAAATATTGTGAGGGAAAAATGACCCAGGAATGAACTTTGAATTTGAATTTTGCTAAGACTATTGACCTTATTAGTACATTTTCTTGTCTTTTGATTCCCGTCTTGGGACAATGTCACACTGAGACTGTACAAATGCCTTATCAACTTGTACACTCAATAAGGGAGACATGCATTTTCTCTGTTCCTATTTCAAGAGTAAATTCATGTACCTTCAAAAAGTCTGATAAGTTGGAATATGAAAGTGATGTTATAGGAATTAGGGAGATTAAAGGAATAAAAGGAAATGTTGTTTTCCCGTCAAGAATACCATCAGAAAACCAATTTAAGATTTAAGATTTTACTAAGGAAATAAATGTGTGCTCCGGAGGTTTTTATCATTCTGTTTAATACCGCTTAGAGTCTGGGTGCTGATAATTACCCGAGCCGGAGGGTAATTATCAGCACCCAGACTCTAAGCGGTCTTAAACAGAGTGATAAATACCAACCGAGCACATATTTATTCCCATATTCATAAATACCTTTTCGGTAAAAAAATATCAAATAATTTGTTCAAAAAATCCTGATTTTGTTCAACAAGTTTACTTCATGCTTTTTTAAACATCCCTCTAGCAAAATAATGGAGTGTTCAGCTGGCGAGTAAGATGTAAACAACCCTTTTATGGAGATTGACGCGCACGTAGCATGTTCTGCGCGATGTCGCGCAGAACGCACCTGGGGCGTTGCGTTTTGAATTTAGAACTATAAAATTCTGACTCGCTGGTAGTGTTGCGCATGCCTACAATGTACGTGAAGATTGTGAATGTTCAACCAATAAAACGGTAAGAGGCACTGGATTTTTAGGAGTCCACATTTTATGTGACACTGAAAAAGTGTTTAAGACCAGCTAGCCATGTCTTTATCATCCGTTTAAGACGGCCACGTGACGGGCTCTCGACCAATAGGAATAGCTAAACTGTCTGAGGTATTTATGAATGCATATTTCACACTTGGTGGGTTAATTTCTTCTAACATAAAACAAGAGATAAGCATTTTCTCTAACAGACGGAGAGTTGCACTCGTACAGCATATTCACTTCACTGACTATCTCATCATCCATCCGATACCAGTGGCCGTTACTGGCCATACAGAAGGCAACGTAGTGACCATAGCAAGTACTCTCAGCTCCTTCATGGACGCAAAGCGCAGCCAGGTCATACATGTATCTCTGGTTTGTGGGTACAGGCATCCCTGCGACCTGTTGGTCAAATAGCGCTGGGCTGAGGTTTAGACCCCGGAGGGGGATGTTCACGGGCGTCTTTGCCTTGCGTCCAAACTGGTTGAATCGATTCAGTTGGATGATGAGGCATTTGGGTAGATAGCGTAAGGAGGTCTGGCATCGCACCTCCCTGGATCCACTTGGAGGACTAAGGGAGGTGTAGGTCCGCGCTTCAGGCTTTGTGGGAGTGGATGATGAGACAGGAGGTCTAAAGAGCTTGGCACTCTCAATCTTAACGTCATCAATGCGTCTTCCCCGAGATTCATGTTCGGCAAGCGGTGATGCGTAACTCGTTGAAGGCGAATCCAGCATCATATCAGTTAGAGCACACATGTCACTGATGCAGTCTTGCAGGTAGACAAGACCCGAGACTTGACGCGGTCCGGACAGGGGAACTGGGAGCACATTGAAAGCTTGAATGCCGAGGGATACGCAGTTCCGGTTTCCGTCCTCTCTCAACTCAAGGATCTGACCTGAGAAGAGCTCGCTAACGCTAGAGCTTTCCCGGCTTTCTTGACACTTCCAATCCAAATCGGACATAACTTGAACTGCTCTGAGACACCTTTCGTCGTACATCGATTGAGCAGACTGGAGCAACGTCTGGCACTCGACTTTTAGGGACTGCTGTTCCTTGTCGCTGAAGTTTCCTAATCCCGAGTCAGTCGGGATGCGATTGGAGATTCTTGCAGAGGGACCTTTTCTCAGGAGGTTATGAAGGGTGGTTAGCAGCCACGTCAGAAACTCGGCTGCATCCTGTTGGGTCTGTTTGGGAGTTGTTACCGGGTCTGCGATCAGGCCAGGGCAGAGTTGAGAGGCCGCTCTCCGAAACTGAAAGGTGTCAAGAACGGTGCCAGAGTAGTGTTCTCTGATGGTGCAATCGGCTAATAACTCACTGTAGCAATTGAGAAAGTCACTCCCAAGGCGACCGTCGCTCATCTCCGACAAGATTTCATCAAGACCTCCGAGGGACTGTACGTGAGCCAAGCACTGCAGCACCGTGTTGAGGAAGCAGAGATTCTTTCCTTTGTTGGGCAAGCCCGGCGGATGGCATATTGGAGGTTGTCTTTGAAACGTTGCCCTCAAGTAAGTCCTCCATTTGTCAAAGACACTGTCCGTGCTGGATCTGATGGGGGCAGTTGCAAGTTTGTGATTTTTGTTTTGGATTTGTTCTTGTGCATGACCTTTTAATCTATCATGCTCAGTGTCCTGATACATTGCCGACTGACATGAGCCGTCGATTGTACTCAACATACCGTTGTTTAAGTCGGGTTCACTTTCCAAGGCAGCAGAAAGGGACGCTTTGAAGTTCTGCCACTCGACCCGATCGTGCAGAAAGGCAGAGAGAACGGTAGTGAATCCGAGGGTGAAGAGGACATACGGCACATGGGTATACTGGCTCATGACCGTTGCAACAAACAGCAAAACCAGGGATTCCAGTAACCACATCCTACGTCGCTCCTCGGGCTCTCTGCAAAAATGTGGAGAAATAACACACATCGGTAACAACAGTAAGTTGAAGAACTTCAGTCGGTCGGCCACTGATGTCGGTCACAAACAACGGCGGCCTATTACTAGGACGAGACATTTAAGTGTAAAGTGGAGTTGACCAGATTGACTGTCGTGTGCGGATGTCCCGAGTTCTGCGTTCCTCCATCTGAATCATGTCTGAGGCGGTCATAGGCCAACGCAAAGAACATCGTGACAGCAGTCAGGAGGAGGAGGAGGTATGGTACACGGTCATACAATGTCATAAATAGGACTAAAAGCAGCAGAGCTACAGATTCCAATAACCACATCCATTGACGCTCTCTGGCCTCTCTGCAAAATGTAAAACAGTTCAGCGGTTAACCCTTATTCCTGGGGACACGTTCCATGGATCCGCTCAGCATAAAAATTTGCTCAGCACAGCTGACAGGAAATATTTGCTTAGTAAGAACACTTAACCAGCCAAAGTTCAGTGTAGTTTAAAATGCGCGGAATTGGTTATAGCACTTATATATATTTGCTAAGCACTAATTTTCTGTTTTATAAAACATGGGCCATGGACGTTTTGCAACAAACCTTCTTGAATCCTCCTGAATTTCTTCACATAAATGGGATAGAAATTGGGCTGTACTAGCTGTGATTCCATCAAAAATTCTGCAAAACCAGGAGTTTGATTTTGAAGGACTGGGTTAGTTGGGTTGACCATTTGACAATTTATCCAACGTGAAAAAATGTGATGTGACCATGCTGTCTGAATACACTTCATGATAGAAAAATGGATTTTCACAAAGATGGCCGATCAGACGGTCCAAATTCTGTCCGTAGAGTCTACTAAATAATCAGACTGGGGCCTTAAGTGCTCAAAAACATGCAAAATGAAATCAGGCCAACTTTACTCACTGTTTAGCCAGCCAAATTCTCAAAAATTTTCATTGGGCAAAGAAAAGGTTCTCAGTATTTACACTATCCAATTCAATTTTTAAAGGAGACTTTTCTTCAATATTTTGCACGTGAGAGGGAAGTCAAGTGATTTCAAAATGAGGCTAAAGACTAGACTGGTACATGTCCAACCATGGCCCACCTGTTTGAAAAGACTGACCTCTTCATTCCTTGTCATTAGTCTGGTGGCTGACTATGGAGTAATGCGTAGAAGTAGAGACTAGTTTCTGACATGTCAGATGCTTCTTTTGGCATTTGATTGGTGCAGTACTGAAGGGTTGTTGGACTGGTTGTTTCATGTGCCAGTCTATTTTCTTGCATTGCATGTTTTCAATTCCTTAAGTTTTGGGACTCTTATACACAGTTTTGAGAGTCCCAAATGTTCAGACTAGTAAATAACGCAACAAACACACCAAATATAATCCCTGAAGATATTTATGGGTGGTAGGTGTACAATGTACAACAAACATGATCAAACTATTTCAACACTAGGTCGAAATCACGGAAAACGTTTCCAGTAATTCACTGTAAATTATTATAGATAAAGTAAAGCACAGCAACAAGAATCACTCATGGCTCTGTAAGCTTTCTCCACAAAAAATTGTCCTTCAGTATAGTTTCAAGTTGTAAAGAACAGCAAAATTGTGTTGCAAAATTTTCAAGGAGGGTGAAATAAGACACGGAAATATGCTGACAAAATGAAACAGCACAATCACTTTATGGCATTCAAATGCCAATTGTCAGATTTCTTAGAACTTTAGAGCGCACTTTCATGTATGATACAAAATTAGACCAAATACATTCCATTTTTTTATCAGATACAGGTAACTATAGATTCATGTGTTCAATGGCCAACCATAAGTCATGCGCCTAATAATTGTTTCCCCCACTCCTTCCCCGGGCTGCCCTACCCAAGACGTGGGGATTGTCACTTTTGAAATGACAAAATCCCCACCCCTCGGGCAAAATTGAAGTGACAATCCCCGACATCAGTGGGGTGCACTAGTGATTGCCGTTCCATGTTGTAAGCCAATGGTAGCAATGCAATTTGATTGACCAAAATCCCCACCCTGGGGCATGAAAAACGTGAACAAATCCCGTCATCAGACCTGGGGCAGAGAGGGAGGGGAGGAGGGGGGGGATTTGCATTAGACTTCTGTTTCAAAAAAAAAAAAGGAGTTTAGCCCATTTTCAGATGGAGGGTCTAATAAACTTTCCAAAATTAGAACAGTACTCACCTCAATGAGTGTAAAGAGGCCTTGACAACAGAATCGACTGCTAGGAAGAGGCTGAACTCGATGAGAATATGAGTCAACCATGATGCAATGGTTGCTAGGGAGGTCCACAGTAACTCCATGGCAACTTCCTCTGAACGGCAAGCGTGATTAACTTGAAGCTTCCAAACTTGAAACGGCACAGAAATCGCAGGTTCTTGCAAAAAGCTAGCCTTTATTCAATTGTACGTATTGTAACTGTGGAGGAAAAAGTATTTTAGTGAAAAAATTAGAAGACATAAATCTGAGCTCATAGCCCTTTGATTTTCCGAAATTGGATTATAAATAAATACAGCATGGTTTGTGGGGAAGAAGTGGGGATTACTGTTCCCGAGGTGTAGGTCAGCTTGACGCGGGAAAGGTAGTCAAGCTGACCTACACCGAGTTAGGAAATACTTCGCTTAGCAGCGTACATTCGATGGTCCCCGTATCCCAAGTGCGATTCTGTTACCGAGCGCGCACGATGCATCGATTATGATAATGAGTAGACTGGATCACGTTTGTAAACACAACTATACATCATACGATAATAGGGAGTCAGGAACTAGGGCAGCTTTTATGGGCGGAAACCAGTTCAAGCTAGTTCCCAACTCCCCTTTACCGTTCCAAATGCACTTGTGCTTACAAACGAGATCCAGTCTACTCATTATCGTAATCGATGCATCCCTCCGTAAATAAAGGCCACACTTCCACCATGTACAAAAACATGTCGTACTTTGTCAAATTTTGATTTTCACATTTAGGCTTAGTTTGTAGTGCTGCCTTGTTCAGATGCCTAATTTTCGTGAAATTTCATGTTGAAATTTTGATACGCAAACGTGTGCAAACGAATCTGAAAATTTCATGAAAAACAGACATCTGATTCTGAAAAAGGCCTTTATTTACGGAGGTAGGCCTAGTCCAGTAAATTGGCCACATTTATAAAAAAAATTGTAGCCTAGGCCATTTACTAAGATTTAGAGGGTGAAATCTGATGTTTTTGTTGGGCAACAAAATTGTGTTGCTCGGCATATACAGATTAGCTTGGACCCTACTACCGGCAGACCATGTCCGAATGTTCAAAAAGGCGATAAGTTGGGTCCAAGTTACTCGGACTACATACATGTACATGTGACATATGAATTATGATGAAGGCATAACGACGTCTATTTCCGACACCCTTATTTCCCCATTTATGACTTTCCTTAGGTCCACTAACACCAGTAACAGTAACTAAATAAGCCTACCATTGAATGAAGACTCAAGACTCCATACATATTACAAATTTTGTTTAAACATGTATTGAAGGATTGTTTACGCGACTAGGCCTACGTGTTCAACAGTTCGTAAAAATTACAAAAAAGCACTCACCATCCGCCATCACATTTGTCGCACTAAGGACGCTTGGTGGCGCCCTGTGCCATGGCAGCTCGCAGGCGCTGGGCTAGGCTAGCTAGGCAGCATGCAGGCGGCATGCAGCAAGCTTTCCCGCTCTTTTGCACGAGTATCGGACATCGCGTCGGCAGTTAAAAAATGTCGGCAGATACCAGGCGGTTCGAAAAGGAGGATCATGCCGCTGTCTACGTCCTAGGTCGGCCGGATTGGCCCAAAGATATCATCGAGAAAAGCATAGCCTTTCTCCGTGAAAAGGTAGGCTTACGTTTGTGGCTCGAATCATATTGCATGCTGGGCCATTCTCCGCTAAAGTGTTCAAATGTGCCATTTTTGTGTCGCTTGTGTTTCTAAGAAGTATGGAGTGTGTTCGATAATGATTTATATTAATTTTCTTCGAGACTAAGTTTTGTTTCATAAACCCATGTAATAAGAACGTAACAAAAATCAAGAAAATCTTAGAAATTGTGACGGTAAGGTGGTATTTGTTGCGTTTTTTTCATGTCGCAAACACCATATACCAGTCAACAGTGTGTTGGGTGATGACTGATCAAGTGGCGGAAGAAGTAGTTAAGGTCACACAGTTTGTCAAGGGAAGCCTATTTCAACATGAGCGGGCCAGATACGTTACACCAGATACGTTACTGATTATGAATTCATCATGCAAATGTTATGCTGACGTCAACAAACATGGGCTACGTCATCGATTCCCACACTGTCTACACGTTTTAAAGTTTCTTAACACATTTAATTGTGATTCATAGAGCGCATGCTTGCCGAGAAGGATTGTAATGTTGTGCTGAATTTCTGTCGAATATTCTTAAAGTTTAGAGTTTAGTGTAGCATCATACAATGTTTTTTTAATGGTAAAATATGTAACTTGTAGAATCTGTAGATAAAGATTTTAGGAAGTGAGGGGTTGTAATTGCACAAAACCTTGATAACATGAAACCATCGTTGTTGGTTTACATAGAATATCTTAGTTTATTATGGTAACGTATCTGATCAGCCTATGGTAACGTATCTGATCAGCTCGGTAACGTGATTATCAGAATCAACGAAACCTTTTATTTCAGTCCGTCTGTCACAATGTGTACCAATGAAATTCACATCTACTTAAAATATCTACAGAATCTTATTTAAAGACATGAATTTATTGAAGTGGACTTGCGGTAACGTATCTGGTAGATCGTTACACGACGTTTAGAAGACTTAACTTCAAGTAGTTATTTTCCCCCAAAATAAAAACATTTGTTAAAAATCGCCTTTGTTTTATTCCATGTGTTTATAAAATGCACATTATAACGTAGAGTGACGAAATTGGGATCATTCTGCTGTGTGAAACAATGCAAACTCGACTTTAATTGATTGTTTTTTAATTGTCGGGTTCTGACTTTGTTCATTTACAGGGTGTACACATTTTTATATTTTGACAACAACTTTGTGTATGAAGCGCGTGGCGTTATCAATAACATTATAATAAGATTGATTACAGCAGCTGCTATAAAGTTTTGTGTAAGTGCTGCTTACTGCGTCATCCCGTATGGTGTTTTAATTATAAATCTGATTTCCAGATGTTACCAAAGCAGCCTGGCCTTGTGGATCTTACTATCTCAATCTCATGGGAAATATTTGTATAATTACCTGTTCATCGAAATGATAATGACTAATTATTAGTTTATGGCAAATAAATGCGAAATTGCAACATGCAAAGTGATAGATGTAGCAACTGAAATTATGTGCATAGCAAATCGAGACAGACAATTTATGTGCCTTGTTTTCACAATCTAGAAAAAAACAGGATGTTTTCCAATGTACCTGTCAAATACTGTCACTCAAACCCCTCTATTTTTTAGTCTGTCTTCCACAATGTGTATTTCCGAAATTCATATTGACTTAAGCCTCCCCAGTTTTTGTTTGAAAGACAACTCGTCTATAAATAAAATAGTGGTAGCGTATCCGTAGGTTGTTAAAACACATTTTAGAAGGTTAAATTCCAAGTATTTATATCAAAAAATATGGTTTAGTTAAAAATCAGTACTGTTTTGTTCCATGTCCTGGAGCTATTAAACTTTACAATTTTGAGCAGATTTCATATATTCATTGTAGTTGATATTTTGTAAAGTCCTAGTTCCAACTTGAACACTTTAACGAAGAATGAGCCTGCTGCGCAGTTTTTCCATGTTAAATTACAGCGCAGGGAAAAAATGTTGCAACCTGACGGCGGCTTTTGACGCCACTTTTTTCCTTCATATATCATCTCAATGAAGGTCAGTCATTGCAAAAATGATGATAAGACATGAATCTAGGACTGAGAAACATTTCCAATTTTGTTAGGAAATACTTAGAAAATTTTCTTGACTCCATTGTGCTTTGTTTGTACACAACCGATTGACAACCGCTGAAGTCGTGTGTCAGTGGCGTCAGGTTGCCACAGTTTTCCCCATAAAGGATTTATAGGCTGTGATAGGTGAGTATTTGCTTGTAATTAATTTCAACGGAAATGGAAAATATCGGCCAAAAAACATGACCATGCATCACCTGACCATGGTAACATCTGCATTCTAAGTAAGTCCGAGTATTAAATTAGGACTCTACGAATCGCCTTTTTTTTTTACTTTGGACATAGTTGGGTGATACTTTGATAGTTGCCCGACCATGTCCAAATTATGTTAATGGTTTAGTAGTTCCAGCTTTCCTGGCGAATCTCCCCATGTTGTGAGCTAGTAGAAAGCTGGACATTTCTACATGTAGGCCTAAGTACTAGTACTAGGCCCTAGGTTATAAATTTGTAAATTTTAGGCAGCAGAATGATGGGTAAACGTTAGACATGTAAACACTGTGCTGTTGGGAGTATACATCATTGGTAAACACTGCCATAGACAGTCAATGTTTGCATGCCATTATATAATACTATCCGCATATTGCCAGGATCTGCCATTCCCCAGAAATAAGAGAGAAATTGGAGAAATATACAGAAGTTTTGTAAAATTTCTGTATTGAAATTTGTAGAATGGTCGTGTACCGTACCCCGACTCTTAATGGTAGGTACTTGGTACTTGGTTGACTCTTCTCCTAAGGACTTCCACAAGGGACGTGTAACTAGGAGGCCAGAAACACCGGGGCAAACCCCTTCTCTTAGCGATAAGTGTTACTGGGTTCTTTTACGTGCGTTAGGCCTTATACAACACACAGGACCTCCGGCTTAACGTCCCATCCGAAGGACGAAGCAAGGGCACAAGTGTCCGGGGCCCCGGGCTCGAACCCACGCCACTGTTGCCTCTGAAACACCAGAGCATGAGTCCGGTGCTCTTTATAAGTAACCACTAGGCCATGACACTCCACTCCAGCCATGACTTAAACATACATGGCTGGAGCCCTTTGAGACACCCGTGTAATACTAGTGGAGAAGCTTAAATCACCTCGAGTGAAACCTTGAGCCGCCCCTGTAATCCAACCTCTGAGGAAATAAATCAAAACACTTGTTCAAATTTGGAATACAGAAATCCAAGCCTTTCTTGCTTGCGGTGGATGTCGGATGTGGATCAGGCCAGAACACGCGGCCTTTGGCTCCGCACTTTGAAATGGTCATCGGTGTGGATGTGAGTGAGGCGCAGATAAAAGCCGCGCAATCCGTGGAAAATCCATCAAATGTGGAATTTAGGTGAGGAAATGATGTGTGTGAGCTTAATGGTGATGTGACATTCACAAGAATTTAATGAGGATGCAGCTCACCGACTGTATGTCTACAGGTCCACGACAAAAAAAACCAACACCAAAAACAGAACAAAACACCTTGTGAAAACAAAACGTGGGCTGTTTTTTTTTTTTAAGTCTCATTCAAACGAGAGTACAGTATTCCTGCAAAGGAAACTCCAAAAAAGCACAAACAGTACATCTTTAGAACGCTAGCCTTCCCAAATCCTCCAAAATCCTCTTTACAAAATGGAGTAAACTAATACTGAATTTTCAGCAACCTGATGCAAATTCCATCTTTTGAACCTTTAAATATACTCATTTCTACTGTTTGTAAATGGTGGAGTGAATTAAAGAGACAGCTTTTTCGTATGTTAGAAATATAGCCTATTACAGTTAGTATGCAAAACTATTAATTTTTTTCACGTTAGAATTGGCAGCGGAGAGAGTATTCCTGTCCCCGATGGCTCGGCTGACATGATCACGGTTGCGGAGGCAGTGCACTGGTTTGATATCGATGCGTTCTTTCGCGAGGTGGATCGAGTCCTGAAGCCTTGTGGCTGCGTGGCGATCTACTCCTGCAATATGTATCCCCGGGTGGAAGGTGACGATAACAAGAATCAACTCCTGAAAGATGTTGTTTTGAAGGTCAGGAGTTTACCAATGCAATGGGCGTCAATCCTGGGGGGACGGGGGACATGTCCCCCCCCCCCCCCCACTTTTCGAAGGGTGGGGACACAATATCAAATGCCCCCCCCCCCCAAGATTGTTGAACTCGTGTCTCATTTACAGGGCCCTATTACCCTATTATGTACTTCAATGTATCTTTTGCTTAGAAAATATTGGTTAAAGTGGTCAGAAATTGCCTCAGATAGCACCATAGAGCATTTACCTTGTAGAATCCAAATTTTTTCGGGGCCCTTAAGTGGGCCCCGAACCCCACGCCGCAATTACAGGGTTTCGCGCTTCGCGCTCGATCACATCAGTTCTGATCAAGGTATGTCCCCCCCCCCCCATCCATCCCACTTTTGAGAAGCGATTGACGTCCCTGAGTGAAATTTAGTCTGCCGTGATCTTATTTGTCCTCTCTTTTTACCCAAACAGTGACAATTCATTCTATCCAACTGATACTGGGGTCAAGATTTTAGACTGAAATTTAATCGATTAAGAGGGCGCAGTCAAAAAGAAAGTGACCAAGTTAGAAAAAGAAACACGCCCCCTTAAAAAGTTAGCGCACCCCCACTTGAAGCCGAATTCATCACAAGCATGACAAGTCTTCCAGTCTCAATTCACTATAAATTCATATATTTTTCCATCTCTATTGTTGACAGTTTGATAGCTTTTTAGCACCGTACGGCAGCGACCGTATTCGACACGTCCGAAACATGTTAGCAGATATCCACATCCCATATGAAGAAACAATCAGGTACGTCATTCATGAGGATCTGTTTTTGTTTGTCGGGGATGCAAAGGAACCAAGGCCTAATTTGATGGCTGTGCTAACACAGTATTCCGGGCTTACTATCACCATTTGTGCTAGCCTTTGTCCCTGTACTTGTCTTTAACACTTTCCTAAAGACTAGGCACGTCAACGTACGATCGAGGACAGTTTTGAACAAAAGCACTGTCGTTTGAGGAATTGAAAGGATCTTTTGTTATCCTTATGTGGATCTGTCCTCAATCGTAATGCCATACAAGAGCGCACACACATGCACACACCCATTCTGGAATTTGTATTCCTGTGGAGACATTTCTTTGTTCTCGTATAGTAAAGTTTTTGAGTTTGAAATTGAAGTTTCAAAATGCTCTTATTTTAACCAGAATTAATTTCCTGGGCTGAAATTTGGACTAAATATCCCTTTTCTAAAACTCTTCCATTTGCGACGGATCAACCTACCTTGGAAATTCCTAGTTTTTGAGTAAAATCCATATATCTATTTCGTGAAATTCTTGTGGAGACGTATTCATCTATAGAAATGTTCTTCTGGAGACGTATACAATCTTTTGTTCCCTATTTTGTTCATGTCTCCGTAAGGTAGTAAATTCCAGCACACACCCACACATACACACGAATGGACAAGGCCGAAACAGTATGCCCCTTGGGCATAAAAATTGTGTTTTGTTTGAAAAATGATAATAATTAGAATAATAATATTTGGGGGCTAATCATCCTTACTCGCAGCTGAGAAGCTGAATTGCACAGCCATGCAGAGATCGAAACCGGAAAGCCCGAAAAAAACACCTTATGGCAAAGGAGAGAATCTATGAACAACTCTACTCACAAGCGCTTTATGCACTAGCCACCCATGCCACCCTAAATATATATAAATTTGTTAACTTTCACGTGAGAGCAAGTTTAAAGGGAAAATACAACATTTGCAAACATCAAAAAATAAAACTACCAAATCATTTTGAAATACCTTGCTGGACTGTTAGTGAATGACAGTGTAAAGCATCCTGTAAAATCATGGCACCTGGTATACTGTCATTTTCAAGAAAAGTGGTATTTTTGTATCAATTTCCAACGCTGGTCGGCCGACCAGCGTTGGAAAAAAATGGCTTTTTTTTTCAAATACTGGCTCCAATTGACCATCGCACTTGTTTGCAAGCGATTACACACCTATGAACGGGTACAAGCCAGCTTGTACCAATGTATGTAAACTGATCTGTTTCTTCTTATATGGAGTCAGGGAACCAGACTACAGGAAAATGATTGTTTTTCTTGGTTTTTATAGCATTTTCGAACCCATAACCTCAAAAAAGTTGGTGTAACTTTATTAGCTATATATTTCCAACCCCCCAATTCCATCCATTTTTGAAAATTACAGCAAAAGCAAATGATGTATATTCCCTTTAAGTAGGTGTTTTGTCAGGCTATGTTTTCTTCAAGGCCTAGGTCTTTTTTTTCCCCCTCAGAACTTAAAAGCAAAGAGAATTGCAAACGATTTGACTGTCACTAAGGAATTTTCTTAGTTTGGCAGATATTGCCTTGTCTTCATACCCTCATTTTCTTTTGTATATATGGCAGGGATGACACTCTTCAAATTAAGCACGACACAACACTGGCGTCATTCATGAACTTCGTCCGATCTTGGTCCAGTTATCAAGGTTATCGTGTGAAGAACCCTACCGGCCCTGACCCAGTCTTAGCCATGCAGGATCGGTAAGACTCAAAGTACTGCCTTTAAATAAAACGCATATTTTTGTCTTTTTGTGACTTTCTCAAACTTTGTGACGTATTAATACGGGCAATTCACAATAGTGCGCCTCCAAGAGTTGGCAACACGTTGGCCAATCACAATGCGCAAAATCAGTCGGCCTTTTTCAAATGCGCATTGGGTCGTCTTACTCGACCAATTTTGCGCATTGTAATTGGCCAACGCGTTGCAAACTCTTGGAGGCGCACTATTGTGAAACGACCGTATTGTATCAACCAGACACTTCTGAGCGCAGCTTGAAGTAAAGATAAATAATAAAAAAAAAGAAGCTTATTGAGGAGATTTATTTTTTGATTTCAGTTCTTTGTATAGTTGCGATGCCATATATATGTCTTAAATAATATATTTCATGTGCAAGGATAAGGCCCAAAAAAATAAGTCTCCGGTTTCTGGTATGGAGCTTGCCCAAAAAGTGTTTTTTTGTTTTTTTTACCTGTTTTTTTTGCTTCAAATGTCGGCTGATGACTGCAAATGGTGCCCGACTAAACGAAGTGCAAATATATGGGAGTCCAGAGAGGCCACATAAAGCTTATTCTCGATCATAACTTCATCTAAAAACACGTTAAAATTGTGCAGCAGCAGGATTCCAGTCAAACCAGTGAGTTTGGCGGTTTTGAGACATCATCTTTCATTGAAAAAAAAACATTTTCATTTTGCCGATGCGCATGGCTACGGCGACGCGCGCACATACCAGAAACCGGAGATTTTTTTTTTTTTGGCCTAATGTACTAAAATTTGGATTTCGTTAGACTTTGTCGATTTTTTTTCTTCTTTTTTTCAGGTTTATAGAGATTTTAGGTTTAGCCGATTGTCCACTCGAAAATGCGCAGATTTCCACCAGCTGTCCAGTTGTCTTGCTGCTCGGAAGAAAACCAGAAAACCAGCCTGGTAATTAAACGTCGGATCCGCCAGGCAAACTTGGCAATAGGAGCCCTGGAGTTTCAGGGAGGCATTGAGTCCATGTAGGCTCAAGTTGGAAAGCCTGCTCCATTCAAGCAAACACTTGTTTCAGGCTGGCATATTCCAGATTTAAAGGGAAAATACAACATTTGCAAACATTGAAAAATAAAACTACCAAGTTTTTACGAAATTCCTTACTAGGATGTTGGTAAATGACAGTCTAAAGCATCCTGTAAAATTATGGCACCAGGTGTGAAGTCATCTTCAAGAAAATTGTATTTTTGTATATATTTCCAATGGTGGTCGGCCGACCACCGTTGGAAAAACCTAACTATTTTTCAACTACTGCTCCAAATTTACCTTTTTTCAGTCCAGATTTTGTTTGCTATTTGTTACAGGTTCATTAACGGGTGCAGAGCAGCTAGACTGGTTCCCTTACCTTACAATATTCTGGCATCTATAAATTGATCCATTTTATCTTTAGTGGAGTCAGGGAACCAGATTTTTTGAACGTTTTTGTTTTCTTGGTTTTTCCAGCATTTTCGAACACAAAATTTCAAACATATCAGTGTAACAAAATTGGATCTATCATACTTACCCCTCAAATAGTTCATTTCTTAAAATTCCAGCAAAAGCCAATGATGTACATTCCCTTTTAAATTTCACCGAACCAAATAATGTTACTAAAAAGGGCATAGGCACATTTGCAGGTACCAAGAATTCCACCGACCGATTTAATGAGTACATCTTTACTCAAATTGAAGATAGGACTGGTATCAAATACCCTGTGAAATCCGCCTCAAATGGTATCATTTGGAAGATAATGAATCATTGAAGTGCCCGCAGGCACTGGTTTTATGTTTACGTGCTTTAGCAACAAAAGTATCTGCAAAAGAGTCGAGAAAAGTCAAGAAGAATCCATCCGGCATCTTGGAAAATCCGCTGTCTTAAGGGGAATTTTCAAAAGCCTGGACGATAATGTTTTCTTGACGTAATGTCCTCTTTCCCAAGTAGCATTACACGCAAGTCCTCAAAAGTCAAACACTAAAATCCTGCATCTTTCCCAAGTTCAGTCCCATTCAAATGTATGTGACAAAGGTGTTAAAGGGAATGTACAACATTTGCTCTTGCTGCAATTTTAGTAAATGGATTTGGAAGATTAGAATGTTATAGCAAATATTGTTAAAATGACTTGGGCTTGAAGATGCTCACTGGAAAAACCAAGAAAAACATCATGTTCTTGGAGTCTGGTTCCCTGACCCCACTTAAGATGAAACGGAGCAGTTTGTCAACTTTGGGGAATTGTAAGGTCAGAGAATCAGCCCGACAGGCTTGTACCCCTTCACAGGTGTGTGCATCAATTGCAAAGAAAATGCGGAAAAACTATTTCTAAAAAAGTAAGAGCAGTTTTTGAAGAAAAAAAAACAGTTTTCTCCAACGCTGGTCGGCCGACCAGCGTTGGAAAAATACCATATTTCTTGAAAATGTCAGCACACAAGGAGCCACAATTTTACAGGGTGCTTTAGAAGATTCATTCCCTAACCATCCAGTAAGCTATTTCGTGATAATTGGATCATTTCGTTTTTTGATGTTTACAAATGTTGTATCTTCCCTTTAATCCCTGTTAAGCTATTTGTCAGAAACTTCCAAGACCGTTTTTCAAATGTTATTTATCTTTGATCAACCTCAGATCACGTACGAACTTTTTTTTTAAATGATCATTACAAATAACCAAGAAATTCTAAACTATATTGCGTATTGTCAAAATATACGTTTGAGATTAAATCTCCTTATATTGATTATTGGGTCTTTGTTGTAGGTAATCATTTTTACGGTTGACTTTCTTATATTGATATTTGAACTTTTACAATTCACAAAACTGTATAAGGATTACTATATTGCATGAAAGGTTTATGAAATGATTGTTACATGTGGTGGCCCTAATTATTGTTTTATTTAAATAATTTCTACATCATACTAATCTAAGGTGTGCTTCAAAGAAACGGAACGTACGTTTAAATCTAGATTTTCTTTGAAAACAGAACAGTGCTAAATAAGCAAGGGCTTTGATTTGTATAAGGTGCCGTGGTCGTGCATGGGCGTCACTGGGTTGATTTATAATGCCAAGCCCCACTCCCTTGCCCCCCCCCCTCGCCCAGCCCCACCAAGCCCCACTCCACCCCCACCCACCCCACCTTTTTCAATTTTCCTTGTTCCGTCGTCATTTTCTTACCAAAATACTACCCATTTAGATTGCGGTATGCTAATGACTGAACCGTCGACACTTTGGCATTACGCCAGCTTGTTATCTGATGAACTCTCGAAAATAGAACTTAATTTTGACGTATGTGCTTATAAAAAATATATATACTTTCGGCTGGGTACCGGTAGGGGAGATAGATTATAAAGATGATTTTAATTTAAGTTAGTTTAACTTTTATTGCACTTGATACTCAGGAAATGCAAGCATCATTTTGGAATTGTTAAAGTTTGATTTTTATATTTTATGAGTAGACTACAGCAGACTACAAGGAGGAAAATGACATACAATTATATTTTTCGATAAAATGAAATGTGGAGTTTGTTGTCCACTGTTATCACCAACAAAACTGTGCCTTGCAGAAACTCTTGTATCACTTGTAGTTGATTTTATTTTAAAGATATCTTGACTTTAAGCATGATCCCTGGCCCTGGCTGCATGGGTATAGAGTATCGTAATCTTCTTCACGCGCATAGTGGAATAAATCAGACTTCGGGGTGGAATAAATAAAGACATCGGACGGTCTCGGTACTCTGGGTGGAGTGAAGAAATCAGACTTCGGTACTCTGGGTTTATGGCTTCTGACATTGCCCCCTGAACAAAGAAATTGGGGAATCTCCAGGCTGAATAGCTCATGCAGTGCGTTAGAAGTAATCCAGAAGTCGCAGGTGGCAAATCCGACCCTCCATATTAGGATTCAGTCAATTTCTTCATTCAACTTATTTCAAAGAGATGTTGGGAAAAATTGGCTATAAAAAAAATGAACCCAAATCCCAGATTGGGGAAACAAAATGATATTTCAAACAACTTTTCTGATGAGAAAGGATGATAATGTGGTAATTTAGGCCCATTATATCTCGGAAACAGAGTTCTGAAAAGTGATAAGACGATCATGACAATCGCTGAATGAATCTCCCCCCCCCCCCGGCCCCCCTTTTCGGTTACCATGCGCTAATTCATGCGTGATGGGTCAGCCTGACCAGCGGACACACTGAAATACATCTCGCCTAAGTCTGCGAGAGAATAAAACCATTTGTCAGTCGCAGACTTCATGACTAGATGTGACCCCAGTGGCGTAGCCAGGAATTTTTCAGGGGGGGGGGGGGGGCGCTGGGGGGGGGGGGGGGCTGGAACATTTCATGGGGGGGCGTCAAGCAGGGGCGTCAATCGCTTCTCAAAAGTGGGGGGGGGGACATACCTTGATCATAACTGATATGATGTAAGCGCGAAGCGCGAAGCGCGAAGCGCGAAGCCCTTACGGCGTGGGGTTCGGGGCCCGCTTAAGGGCCCCGAAAAAAATTGGATTCTAGATGTTCTGTGGTGTGATTTGAAGCAATTTCTTACGACTTTCCTCCATGCTTTAACTAATATTTTCTTGGCAAAAGATAATTATTTGAACATCGTTTTCGAGGTTGGAGACATTGAATCAGCTATCGGTATTCTGAGCTATTGGCGTGGGGTTCGGGGCCCGCTTAAGGGCCCCGAATTTTTTTTTTAGATTTTCGATGCTCTGTGGTGTGATCTGAGGCAATTTCTTACCACTTTAACCAATAATTATCTTAGCACAAAAGATAATAATTTAAGCATAATTTTTGAGGTTTTCTCAGCTAAAGGCATAAGAAAATTGTATGAACATTGTTTTCGAGGTTGGAGTCATTGAATCAGCTACCAGAATTCTGAGCTATAGGCGTGGGGTTCGGGGCCCGCTTAAGGGCCCCGAAAAATTTTGGATTCTAAATGCTCTGTGGTGCTATCTGAGGCAATTTCTGACCACTTTAACCAATATTTTCTAAGCAAAAGATACATTGTAGTACATAATAGGGCCCATGGCGTCATGTAGATCAATGATAATTTTTTTAGAAACTCAAAATCTCAGTGGGGGGGGGGGGGGGGGGGGGGGGGGGGGGGGGGGGCAACAAGGTTTCACGGGGGGGGGGGGGCGGTCGCCCCCCCCCCCCCGCCCCCCCCCCCCCCCCCCGGTGGCTACGCCACTGTGTGACCCGTATTAACAGGGCGTGACCGTCCCCCTCAGACCTGAGCTGGCGCATGGCGACGACCGCCAAATTCTTAAGTTCACGTTTGTCATCAGTTGAGGGCGCCCTTCCAAAATATTGAGGCCTGTTTGCAGCACGTGGGCAGGGCATGCATGATGCAGTACAGAATACACTCTGTGTTTTCTCGGCCGGTTGTGTTTACAATTTTGTCATGATGCCGACAGAGCTCAATTTCCAGTGTTCCCTGTGTGACTTCAAATCGCCGTATGATTACTTTGGTAGCAAGCCGCCCTTTGCAAATGCAGTTGTGTAAGTAAAAAATATCAAGCAGATGAATGCTATGGGGATGTGCACGTGGTAACCAAATCGGCATTCTGTAATTTTTTATCTAATCAAAAACAAGATGGGAACTTTTGTTCGCACAACAGTTGGAGCATACAAAAATCTTAAAGGGTATTAGTACGGTACAGTCTAAAAATGCAACATACACGTTGTGTGTGTGGTACATAATAATATACACAAACATGACAAATTACAAATACAATAATGTTTCTTACACGTCCCGCAGAGTGCGAACCACTGTGCAGCTGCAGCTGGATCACTAGCACCATGGAGCTATTTATAGCTCCATGCTAGCACTAAACAGCGCGATTTTCGGGAACAAAATTGTGATCCCCGAAACTCGATCGTGCATGGTTCTCGCAAGAATCACACAACAACTCCCAATTTTTAAAGGATGGTTGTGTGGATGTTGATATTCTACTTTAAATGCTCTTTCTATTTAATATCATTTCGTTTAAAACACGTTTTGTAGCCCATTTGGGTACAAACCAGGCCGTAATGTTCCTTTAAACCATATCAAAATTTTGCATTTACATGTAGTTGATTTTTTTTCAAAACAAGAACATTTCTTTGAATTCGTTGGTACCCCGCTATGATTTAAAGCTATAGTCCATCATTTGTAATTTGTGCATTTTGTTCGTTTGAAGCAACAAAAGTGTTCAAAATCTAATGAAGGATACTGAACAACTAACCCGATGGAGTTTCAGCTCAGCTTCAGCTGTATATTCCGAGAAAAACAGCATTCTAGGATCTCAATTTCAAATCAAAACTTGCTAAATCATGTTTTGAATTGTTTCGAATTGCAGCTATATGCGATGTCGCGCACTGATCCGACGAATTATAGCAACGCACGCGCCTGTGCTTCGTTCCAATGCTTGCGCACACTGCGCCGAATAACAAAACGAACTACTAATTAAAATTTTCCTACGGTGCTTCTTAAGAAGCACCGTTGGAAATGCCTTCTTTCGTTGATTTCTGCAAAATGAGAGCTTGCCAGAAAGAATAATTTCACAGGGAGTTTAGTTCCCTCACTATCTTTCAACCAGTATGTATTTCAACAATAATTACGCCAGTTACTTTTTTGGATAGCTGCAAATGATGGACTCAGGCTTTAAGATAGATGTAACTCCATTGTCACAGAATTCAAACACCTACCACAATGAGGTCTCTGTGTTCAAGCTCATAGCATATTAAATTGTAGTTTGTATCATTTTCCTCTCATGACTGAGTTTCTCATCATTGTTTGAATCATTGTGTTCCAGATTACTGGAGAAAGCCTACGTGTTGAAAGACCCCTTCGTGCCAGAAGGAAGGCACATCACCGTAGGATCGCACTGCTCTGTGTGCAAACGAGCCGTTTGTGCTGGCCAAGTAAGTAGAAATGAAAGAGATCCTTCATAAGATGGAATTTGAATCAGCCAACCGATCCCGTTAGCTGGGTGGTCGAGTGGTAAGACGTCTTCACTAGAAAGCAGGAGGTCGTGGGTTTGAGTCCACCACTGCTTAATGCCGTCAGATTCAAACCAGCCAACTGATCCCACAAGTTGGTGGTCGAGTGGTAAGATGTCTGCACTAGAAAGCAGGAGGTCGTGGGTTCGAGTCCCAGCCGAGTGATTTTTTTTCCAACTTTCACTCGGGAGGTAACACACTGAGTATACAGTGTTTATATGTCGGTGAAGGGCAAAACTAATATTGATTTTATCACCCCGACGCAAATTCCATCTTATGAATAGTTTTATTACGGTACCCGCTGCTAAATGTAGGCCTATATCAGATTCGAACCAGCCAACAGATTCCGCAAGCTTGGTGGTCGAGTAGTAAGACGTCAGGAGGTCGTTGGTTCGAGTCCCACCCGAGTGATTTTTTCCCCAACTTTCACTCGGGAGGTAACACAGTGGGTATACGGTGTTTATACATCAGTGAAGGGCAAAACCTTATATTAACTGAGATCATGTTGTGACATGCCAAGTATGAAACAACACTTCTGTAGCCTTTGCGAACATGCTGTAGCTAATTTCAACAGAGTGAAAGCTGCCGACAAAATTTCTGAATGAGCGGTATAAAACTATCAGAAAAGTTTTAACACACTTCCTCGAAACCAATTTAAAGATGTCTTTATGCTTGTCATTTTCTTATCTTTTTTAAGGATTGTAGCTTATTCTACACTAAACGGTTTTGCCTCCCCTGTGTGAAGAAACACTTCAACGAGTTCCCTCAAGAAATCCAACAGGTGTGGAAGGCCATTTCTGTTTATATATATAATTTTTTTGGGGGGGAGGGGGTTTCAAAGCATTTTTTGTTAATGCCTAAACAAACTTTCCATTTTCATGAGCAAACCAGTGATACCATCTTAGGCAGAAGCTTCATTGTACAGCTTAAAGGGAAGATACAACATTTGCAAACATCAAAAAACGAAATGATCAAATTATCACGAAATATCTTAATGAATTGTTAGGGAATGACAGTCTAAAGCATCCTGTAAAGTTGTGGCTCCTGGTGTGCTGACATTTTCAAGAAAAACTGTATTTTTCCAACGCTGGTCGGCCGACCAACGTTGGAGAAAACTGGCTTTTTTTTTCAAAAGGTGTTTCTAAATTTTCATATTTAGTTCGTCTGCATTTTCTTTGCAATTGATTACACACCTGTGAAGATTACAAGCTGCTAGGCTGATTCTCTGATCTTACAATTCCCCAAGTCTATAAATTGCTCCGTTTCATCTTAAGTGGGGTCAAGGAACGAACACGATTGTTTTAGGGTTTTTTTCCAGCATCTACGAACCTAAAACATGAAACAAGTCAGTCTAACAATCTTTGCTATAAACATACTAATCCTCCAAATCCATTTATTTCTGAAAATTGCAGCAAAAGCAAATGTTGTACATTCCCTTTAATTCTAACATCAAAATTTGAGTGTTTGTTTGTTTGTTGTTTGTTTGTTTGTTTCTGATGGCAACTTTTCTGTTAACTGTATGACAACCAGTCAGTGAGTTTAAGTTCATATAAAGGTGTTTTGTTGACCTACATGTTGGGTTTGTTAGTATTTGTACAGAAAATCTCATGACTGTTTAGTTGGGTTACATCACAGCAACAAGTCAGGAACTAACATGGACATTGTAAATATCGAAAAAATTGTCCTTAAACAAAATAATTACCCCAGAAAGGGTATTTTGTTATACGTAGCAGAGGAATGGAAGTTGCCAAAATAAAACAATAGTTTAACATTTATTTCATTATTTTTATTCATGAGATGGAATTTTATGTCGGGGTGATGTAAATCAAACTAGTTTTTTTTCCCCAACTTTCACGCTGGAGGTAATAACACACTGAGTATATGTAACCGTGAAAAATGACACACTTGGGGGAACTCGCACAAACTAAGACTCTATGGGGATTAACTAACAAAACTAAACTAAACTCAGGATCTTTGAAGGGAAAAGTCGCGAGGAGACTGAATTAAATGGGACAAGGGACACAATTCTAGATTTCGAACAAAAAAAGACAAAAAGAATTTATTTACAAGAACTTTCAAAATGACCAGATAATTATAAAACCAAGACCACGAAAATCAAGTAAGAGCAAAGACTAAAAACCAAAACTTAAACCAAAAAAACCAAAGACTCGATCAAACCAACTTAAAAACCAAAAGTATTTAACCAACACAGTGTTGTATAAAGTGGACCTTAAAGACACTTCTGGCAGAAATAAAGTCAATGACTCCAACAAGCAGACAAAACTAAGCAGGACAGGCACTCCAGTTAGGAGGAAAATATATGTATGCATGTGACTTGTCTCTGCTGATCTGCTGGGTGAACTAAAGTGGCTTGACCATGTGGCAGCTTATATAAGGGGGACATGTGGGCTTAAGTAAACAAACAGGGGGTCACACTACTAAAAAGGGGGGGGGGAAGCTTGAGTAACTAAAATGATTTCTTTTTGTTCTAAAGGGGAGCTACTCCTATATACTATACACTTCATACATGAAAAATATACAACCAAAACTAGGCCCTGCCACATATACAGTGTTTATATGTCGGTGAAGGGCAAAACCGAGTTTGATTCATTATTATTGTTTGTTATTAGGAGCTGGAAAAGAAAGGCAGTTGAGCTAAAGATTGACAAAGACTACTTGAGATCACTCCGAGGAGTCATATCCATCTTCTGCCTTGTCCAGTGATGCTGTCATCTGACACTGGTATCTCGGAGATGGGATTTCCATGCTGATGAACAGTATGCAGTGCAGGCAGTGGAGTTGATGCACAACTGTGGTCTCCGCGTGCACAAGTACCCCCTCAACGGTTACAAAGGGAGAGGTGGGGGAGACCACTAGGGAGGGACAATTCAAGTGATTCACAATGTAGTGCGCCACCAAGAGTTTGCCATGGAGCGTTCATTTTACCCAGTGCATTGTGGGAGATGGTCGACAAATTCGCAGCGCGGGACATTTGAAATTGTTAGTTTTTCTGGTCAGTGGTTTCGTAAGCGTATGATTCGAGTATCAGTTTGCCCTTTTCTTTTCTTTTTATCAATATGGTGTTTTTTGTAAAAACGACAGGACGCTATGCCCCAGTGTATAACAAATTTGCTCAAGTTGTCTACTGACACTCGTTCAAATGGGCTGTGTTTTGTCGACCGTAAACGTGAAAAATGGACCCTCCGTGGCAAACTCTTGGTGGCGCACTGCATTGTGAATCGCCCGAATTTAATGCATTGCGGGGATAACACCTGATGCTCACGCGAAGATGACGTGGCTTTGTGCCGTTCAGAGTAAAGTTAGTCGAGTGTATAATTGTGCCATATGCGCGCAAACCAGTACTTGCACATGGTGTGTCCCTATACCACTGGGCTCTTGAAAGAGGTGAAAAAAATGCCATGTACTGTTCATTGTTGGAGTCCATACTCTCAGGAGTTGAAAATGCAAAACACTTCTGGCATTGACTGACTGTTTAGTGCTCACATGCATTCATGCTATGCCATTTTGGTGCAAAAAGCAGCTAAAATTAATCACAATAACCATCTCCGCCCTCACAGGTACCCGTTTACTCTTGGGATGGGGAGAAGCAATGAGTGACTAAGTGCCTTGCCCAAGGGCATACACGCACCACAACCTCAGGCTAGAATCAAAGCCACAACCTGCAGCATTAGAGTTCAATGCTCCAGACCATGAGGCAATGGCACTCCACTTTAAAGCTATAGTCCATCATTTGCAGCTATCCGAAAAGTAACTGGCATAATTATTGTTGAAAAACATACTTGGTTGAATGATAGTAAGGGGACTAAACTCCCTGTGAAAGTATTCTTTCTGGCAAGCTGTCATTTTGAAGTAATCAACAAAAGAAGGCCTTTCCAACGGTGCATCTTAAGACGCACCATTGGAAATTTCCGTTAGTAGTTCGGGTTTTTTTATTCGGCGAGGCGCGCGCAAGCGTTGACACGACGCACATGCGCGCGCAGTTGCTATAATTCGTCGGATCAGTGCACGACATAGCATAGCTGCAATCGGCACAGTAAGAACGTGTCTCGGACGCTGAATTCAGGCCCAATTCAAAACATGATTCAGCAACTTTTGATTTGAAATTGAGATCCGACAATGCTGTTTTTCTCGGAATATACAGCTGAAGCTGAGCTGAAACTTCATCAGGTTAGTTGTTCAGTACCCTTCTTTAGATTTTGAGCACTTTTGTTGCTTCAAACGAACAAAATGCACAAATTACAAATGATGGACTATATCTCGGCGAGGCGCGCGCAAGCGTTGACACGACGCACATGCGGATCAGTGCACGACATAGCATAGCTGCAATCGGCACAGTAAGAACGTGTCTCGGACGCTGAATTCAGGCCCAATTCAAAACATGATTCAGCAACTTTTGATTTGAAATTGAGATCCGACAATGCTGTTTTTCTCGGAATATACAGCTGAAGCTGAGCTGAAACTTCATCAGGTTAGTTGTTCAGTACCCTTCTTTAGATTTTGAGCACTTTTGTTGCTTCAAACGAACAAAATGCACAAATTACAAATGATGGACTATATCTCGGCGAGGCGCGCGCAAGCGTTGACACGACGCACATGCGCGCGCAGTTGCTATAATTCGTCGGATCAGTGCACGACATAGCATAGCTGCAATCGGCACAGTAAGAACGTGTCTCGGACGCTGAATTCAGGCCCAATTCAAAACATGATTCAGCAACTTTTGATTTGAAATTGAGATCCGACAATGCTGTTTTTCTCGGAATATACAGCTGAAGCTGAGCTGAAACTTCATCAGGTTAGTTGTTCAGTACCCTTCTTTAGATTTTGAGCACTTTTGTTGCTTCAAACGAACAAAATGCACAAATTACAAATGATGGACTATATCTTTAAGGTTGAACTTCTGTGCAATGAAATCCTTATTTATGTTGGAGTTTTCATTTGTTTTGTGCACTGAGAAATCAAGGATATGTGTGTTTTCCCTTCGTGGTGAGGATTGAAATAAAAAGGGTCCACCTGATCATGTCATCACTAAGCAATGAGTGTTTTGACCTGGCTGCTCATTTCAAATTTGTGGATATTTTAGTGAGTCAATATTTCATGGTCCAAATTACCAGCGTTGTAATTGATTGGACAGAGGGGTAGGCCCCCCCCCCTCCAAGTGTCCCTATACATACACCTCCGGTAATACATTGTATTACAGTTTATGTCATGTGACTAAAATGGGAGGAATTCCTCCTCTTTCTGAAAATGTCCGAAGTTTGCTAATTCATTTCGTCGACAATTTGATAGTGCCGGAGTATTACCAAGTATAATACAGGTTTCATTAACTGCTAATTGCTTATTCGAATTTGACGACCGTTACCGGCATTTCCCAAAACTCGGAGTGGTCTTTTTTCGGCCCCGCCTGCTAACAGTGCTATTGGGGGCCTCCCTTTGAAGATTTCAGGTCAACATTTGTCAATGTTTTCTTACAGAAATATCCAACTGTATTAACATAACTGTATATTATGAAGCAAGTGATTTATTTAAAAACTTGATCGGAACATTAAAAGCTATAAGTGATAAAGTGAGTTCGGAAATGAAGCCGAGTTTTGATAAAGGGCCGTCAATGTCGTCATGTTCATTTTTAGCCACGGAGGCTGCCTGACCTTCAATTTAGACGTGAGCGTCGGGAATAATTGTCGGGTCTGGGAACCAGACTACAGTAGCACCAGAGAAAAGGCCATTGTAAGAAATGCACATTTCAAGAGGGAAATTCTCAGAAACATTACGTATTTATTCTTAATCTGCCAACAAGAAAAAAAATAACGGGCAATAACAATTTACAAAGCGAGATTCCTTATGTTATAACTATTTTGATTACGTGACAGAACGAAAATTTAGTATTAGTATTCATTCACAAGTCCATAAGTAATACTTTAATCCATCCCGCCAACCCCAAAATCCAACAAAAATAACACTTTTTCCCCTAAGACTTGCGCATTAATAATACTTTTCGATACATGCCACAAAAGTAAAACACATGGACTACACGCTACACTATCACATTTGTATGTACACATAAATTGATTAAAACAAAAATTCAAAAAATGCGAGTAAATTTATCAGCAATTCCAAATTCTGAAAGCACCTTAATAGCTGGAATTTCTACATGCACTTGTGTAGCCATGTCCAATGGATCAATTTTGCTGGCAATTTTAAAATTTTGCTGAAATATTAATGACTTTTGTAGTAGAAATATGATCGGCTGTATTCAGAGTGGATGAAAATATCACAAATAGTTAACGATCAAACTACAGAGGTGGCCATTTTTTTGTCACAATGAATGAACCAACATTACTAGGCAAATATTTATATGGCCCAACTAAACACCCGCAAGTCTTGCCAGCTGGTTAAAACTTCAAGTAAATAATGCAGAACAAGTTTGACAATAGGGAACATTCTCAGTGAACTTTGTCAAGGTTGAAATTTGTCCAACTTTTGCATATTCACAGAGCAAATACTAGCCATGGCATCACAAACTCAGGTTCACAATTGTCTTCATGCTTAGTATGAACCAACCTTAACACACAACCACGTTTTTTTTTTACTTTAAAAGTGCGAACAACATGATTCTAAAGTCTACTTTATACATAAATACTTTTTTTTTTCTCTATCACAAACTCTCAATTAACCCTAACTCCCTAGCATGATTTACAAGGTACCACACCCATCCCGGCAAATTCCAACACCATATGGGAAACTGCACACGCATATTTCTGACTTTGTTTCTGGAGGTGTGCCAACCTAATGTACATGACTGTCAGTTTAGGGGTACTGTACCCATCCTGACAGATTCCAACAAAACATGCCGTTGGGGTTTGATGGGTTGAGCTCTGTTAGGGTTAAAAAGCCATCCTTAATGAAATGGGATGTAAGCTGTGATAACTTGGTATATCTACGGGATGACAGATATCAGGAACTGTTTTGGCAATGTTTGATTAGTTATTTATCAGAAGGCTCACATGTGCTTGGCACAGTTATCTCTCGAAACAGGGAAGGAGATTGCCGAATAACACAGCATTAGGCCCCCCAAAAAAGTCTCCGGTTTCTGGTATAGAGCTTGCCCCAAAAGTGGTGCAACGACGTGGCTTTTTTTTTTTTTAGGTTTTTTTTTCTTCAAATGTCGGCTGACGACTGCAAATGGTGCCCGACTAAATTTAGTGCAAATATATGGAGTCCAGAGAGGCCACAAAAAGCTTATACTCGATCGTAACCCCATCTAAAAACAAATTAATATTGTGCAGCAGCAGGATTCCAGTCAAACCAGTGAGTTTGGCGGTTTTGAGACATCATCTTACATTGAAAAAAAACTTTTTCATTTTGCCGACGCGCATGGCTACGGCGACGCGTGCGCATACCAGAAACTGGAGAATTTTTTTTTGGCCTTACATTCTTATGTCAATTTACTCTTATGACAATGTGTACCTTTAAACTGACAAGTAAATCAACAGACAATCACTTCAATTATTACTGTTATTAGAATATTGGTGGCTTAACAAATGCACGTTTTCTTGACTGGAGTCTTCAAAATCCTTTAAAAGAAACACCACAAATTCGAAATGCTGGCACAGGCTAATAATACATGTATGGTGTCCATTATAAGACAATTCACAAGTATGAGCTCAGGATAATGAATGTGCATGAAGGTCACTAACATTCAGAAAGTAACATTGTTACTGCTTTAATACTAGTATGACTTTAATTTGGCCTACCTTGTGTCTAGTTACAAAAAGAGTTGTATAAAGTGGATCAGCCTGTATTTGCATTTTGAAAGTTGCATAAAAGTGCAATTTAAGCTAATCGTGTGCCATGCCCCAACTTCAACGTTCATTGAGCAGCTGTGTCTAGAACTGAGGTATCTACATGCAAGTATCTATTTTGCAAAAACAGAAAACCCAAAATTTCTACACTACTTACTAACAGATGATCAAAGCAATATTGACATTTTCGAGAATCTGAATCTCATTCTTGACAGTTTTCCACTATCTTGGCCCAATGAAAGTGTGCAAATTGAGGGATCTCTTCCATTTGAATTTCCATTAAACGCACTGATTTTAGCACATTTTTTTTTAACCGTCATAATTATCTTGAGCAATAATATTTACATGCATGCATCTTTTTTTTCTACATGAATGAGTGCAACTCCATCCTAGCCATTCCTTTGAAAGGGGCGGGTTTCTCAACTTTTCGTCTGAGCTCAAAGGGGCTAAAACTGTGCAGTAAATACAAATATCGCAAGAAACTGTTGCTCATTGCGGTAACAGAATGTGGTGCATTCATAAAAGATTGTGTCGTATTTCAAAACTTGTCCTCAAAAGACAGAGGTCTTCAAGCACGTGATCTATCCCATAATCCACCACTGGACCAGGTGTTCACAGACATCCACTAACTGGGGCATTCAATCTTATTCCTCGCTAGTTAAGCTTAAAGCAATTTAATATTACAGTCAAGCATTAGTGCATTCTGCATGTTTGCAAAAGGAAATTTCAAAATGTAACAGCTACGTACTTCACAAGACAACGTTACATCTTCTAACGGTGTACTGCACAGATTCAGGTTAGTTCTTTCGACCGTTAGGTTCTTTCTGTTAGGTTAGGTTCTGTCGACCGTTAGGTTCTTTCGACCGTAAGGAATTTTTTGACACAGCACAATACAAAGCACATTACAGAGATTCTAACATGACCTATGTGTACGGTTTATAACTTTGGTACAAAAAATGCAGCATATTCACGGGCGACGACAAAAAAACACCACGGGCTAGTCTCTCCGACGACGGGAGTTATTAAAAAAAAAAAACACATGGGAGGGCGCTCTTCATAATCCGTTGACGTTGCCGTTTGTCCTGTCGGCCGAGGCTTCGTCAGAATCCACGGTGGTTCTCGTGTGCGATTTCTCCTTGTACTCTGTGATGATGACTGGTACGTTGTTGACAACCACTTCAGTGCTGATGGCCGAACTGCGATCAATGTTTTTTAAACGTGGTCTGAAGTTGGGAAGAAAACGACAATAATTATTTTAGTTTGACAATGGTCTACACTTGTTTCATCTACATCACGCATTTAAGCAAGCAATATTGACCTATCCCTCCCATCCTCAAAATACACCGAGAGTTTTGGAGGATTATGAAGGATCAAGGAAAGTACCGGCCAGGACCTATGTTGTTTCACAAGAGGCATATACATGTAGCCATCTCTGCCCTCACAGGTACCCAATTTACTCCTGGGTGGAAAGAAGCAATGAATGACGAAGTGCTTTGCCTAAGGGCACACGCACCATAGCCGCAGGCTGGGCTCGAACCCTCAACCTGCAGAATTACCCGCAGACCATGAATCCAATGCTGCAGACCCCCGAGGCGTAGTAGTAATAGTGCTCAGTAATATTAAACATGAAACGAAGGCTGCATCATCAAGGCATGGCAACTAAATAAGATTTCAATAGATTTGAGGGTCTACAGTCAACATTGTGACAACGTTGATAAGCCCAGTCCCACCAGCCACTGTTGACTGGCGCGCCAATTATGATGAAGGGGCAAACTACCATACATGTACAATGTACATGCAGTTTGTGATGGCATCCACTCGTTTCTTACCTAGGTTTCTTAGGACTGCCTGTTTTCCGCTGTACTGGGCTGGACCGCGGTGCTGGCTTGACTGTCTTGACGTGGACTAGCGGGGACAGATTCTGTTGAGCCTGCTGCTGGGCGACTAATTGTGCATTCAGCCTCGGTTTCCTAAGGAAAAATTTACCCTTGCTATATTGGTGTAATGTCAATTGGATATAGTCACTGTAGCATCCGAAACCGCCCTGCCTCACTGTAGAGCCCCAAACCACCCCAGCTCTATACTTTTATTTTATTTTTTCAGTGAATAACATTTATACAATGTAATACAATGAAGTCCAGGCCCTAACAGTTAAGCTAATACACTCCAGAGTTCACTTTGCTGTCCAGCTGAGGTGAATTGGAGGATGCTTTAGCCGCACCAGCAAAGTGAATTCTGCAGTGCATTTATATACAAGGCTTGTCTGTTGGTAAACGATGGTGCCAACTTGAAGGGATAAGGGGGGCCTGGGGATTTTACTAGCTTCGTTTACATTTGGTCAGTTTATTGCCAGTGAGTTCTGCTCATAAGGTTGAAAAACAGTATCAACTACCTTAGTTCTCGGTGATAATTACGCCCACTTCCATAAACTATCAAAAAAATACTCATAACTCTTTAAGGTGTTTGAGACACCCATCAAATGAAAGCTAATACTTCATCATTTTTCAATTTCTGATCAATTACTGAGTGGGATTGGGTGGGAGGGGGAAAGGGGATTTGTTAGAATACACCTGTTTCCAATACTCTACACCAACTCTCCTTTCTTTATTTCAACCCCCCCCCCCCCTTTCGGGGATAACAAGGATGTTTAATAGCAGGTTAGGGTACCTGGTTGAGGTTCCTTTGCGAACATCACACATGGCACACTTGAACGCTTCGGCCTTGTTCCGATACGTGCACACGCTGCAGTCCCAGTAGGATCCCTCCGGTGATCGAGAAGAACGCTTTGCACGACTGAAGAAAACAAATGAGGAAAATAAAACGGGTAACGGGTAGTACATATCAACCAGTATTGTACGCAAGTCATAACAGCATCTTTCCCTCATTTTATTGGGAAAATTCCTACAATTGTCTCAGCACCATTTAAAGTATACAGCTCAATGTTGCCATTTTCCCGCGAATTTTCCCGCGAACATCTATACTTATAAATACAACATGTAGTTTAAGGGGAAGCAGTGTAAAAGTACCGGTGCTGAGGTATAGACCTTTATCATGCTGCCACCACTTCAGTCATGTTCCCCGTATCCAATAACAGGACTGAATGATCATGTTTTTAGTGCAAAAAGGAACCAGACTTTTTCCTTCCAGCCCCGCTTTGGTTACGTTGAATTGAATGGGAAAAATCAAGATGGCCGCAACATGATAATGGTCTATTGGTACCTAAGCACCAAAGATGACATCCAGAAAAATGTGCTACATGTATGTATGATAAATAAGACGCACAAAATTGGTTACTCACGTTACATTTTCGTAACGTGAGTAACTAATTTTGGGCGTCTTGTTTATCATACATACTACATTTTTCTGGATGTCATCTATGGTGCTTAATAGGTAGGTCTAGGTCTACTCTATCTACCATGGGGATAACAGTTATTAAACCTTTTCAGTAAGGTAATTACAGCCCAAGGAAACTCAAAAGTACATCAAAAATGTAACGTGAGTAACCGTGGAATTGCCCATACAGTTGTAGACTGTAATAGAATTGTAATTCGCACTGCATGGACGTAGCAAGATCTGAGGACAGACACAGAGTGAGCGGGAAATTTTTCCTTTTCAGTCAATAATTGTTTTCAAGATACTTTCCTGAACACTTGATCAGTGACACCCAATTACGTACATGTACATACATGTACGTACATTTGTACATAGGCCCTATATAATGTAGTAATTTACCTAGATATTAATTTTCCAACTCCAACTCCTAATGGATTCAGATATGTACAGGCCAGCCACTTTTACTTTACACATGGATCTTGATATCCTACATAATAGTAATGAACTCAATACTAACTCTCTTCATGTAAATTTTCATTCAGCACCTTGCTTAATCCAACTGAATCAAACACCACCCAGACTTGCCCGGTGTTGGACACCTGGATACTGTTGGATTTAGCATGGACAAGAATGAGTTCAAGTACAATCTCATTAGGATAAGGATTGCTGAACATACCTCTTCTTGTTCGATGAAGAGGAGACCCTGTGCAATTTGGAATCACTAGATTTCATCTTCCTCTTGGAGACAGGACTCAGATGAGGAAGCTCGTCATTGCTTGTCTCTCTGGCAGCCATCTCAACAGCTTCCTCGAGTGTCTTTAGGCTGCAAAATTCCTCCAGAGTGAATTCCTCTTTGTCTGGGCTGACGTAGCCTGGGATGAGCTGCTTTATTCTCTTGGCGGGTGGCAGGTGGTCCGGGCTTGAGGCTGGCATACAAGCAGGTGGGGCATCTCTACTCAAATTCGTCCCTGGTGACTGCAGGTCACCCTTTCTTTTAGGGAAAACCCTCTTCTTTCGCTTCCTCCCACGTGGTTTACTCAATGCATTACTGTTAGCATCATCTAGTTTATCTTGTAGTTTAATACTCCTGGAATTCTGTTGGCGATGGTGCTGCAAATCTAACTGGACATTGGAAGGCAGCTCTGTTGTACAGAACTCTTTTCCCCTCCTACATGTATGTAAAGAGGGCAAGATGTTGTTTGTGGGAGAGGAATTCTCATGTGGACTAAGCTTCCGCTTCCGTGGTCTACTCCTGGTAGGTTTGGTATTTGGGTCTGCACTTGGTGAAGCTTTCTGTGAAGCTGCGGCAAACATCACATCAGTTGGCTTCCGTGGTCTACCTCTGGTGGGTTTGGTATTTGGGTTTGCAATTGATGAGTGTTTCTGTGAAGCTGCTGCAAACATCACATGGGTTGGCTTCCATGGTCTACCTCTGCTAGATTTGGTATCTGGGTCCGCACTTGGTAAGGGTTTCCGTGAAGCTGCTGCAGACATCACATAGGTTAGCTTCCGTGGTCTACCTATGGTAGATTTGGTATTTGGGTCCGCACTTGGTGAGCGTTTCTGTGAAGCTGCTGCAGACATCACATTGGCTGGCTTCCGTGGTCTACCTCTGCTAGATTGGGTATTTGGGTCCACACTTGGAGAGGGTTTCTGTGAAGCTGTTGCAGACATCACATGGGTTTGCTTCCGTGGTCTACCTATAGTAGGCTTGGTATTTGGGTCCGCAATTGATGAGTGTTTCTGTGAAGCTGCTGCAAACATCACATCAGTTCGCTCCCGTGGTCTACCTATACATGTAGTAGGCTTGGTATTTGGGTCCGAAATTGATGAGTGTTTCTGTGAAGCTGCTGCAAACATCACATGGGTTGGCTTCCGTTGTCTACCTCTGCTAGATTTGGTATTTGGGTCTGCCCTTGGTGAGGGTTTCTGTAAAGCTGCTGAAGGCATCACATGGGTTAGCTTCCGTGGTCTACCTATGGTGGGTTTGGTATTTGGCTTCACAATTGATGAGTGTTTCTGTGAAGCTGATGCAAACATCACATGGGTTGGCTTCTGCGGTCTACCTCTGCTAGATTTGGTATTTGGGCCCGCATTTGGTGAGCGTTTCGGTGAAGCTGCTGCAGACATCACATCGGTTAGCTTCCGTGGTCTACCCACAGTAGGCTTGGTATTTGGGTCCGCAATTGAGTGTTTCTGTGAAGCTGCTGCAAACATCACATTGGTTGGCTTCCGTGGCCTACCTCTGCTAGATTGGGTATTTGGGTCCACGCTTGGAGAGGGTTTCTGTGAAGCTGCTGCAGACATCACATGGGTTTGCTTCCGTGGTCTACCTATAGTAGGCTTGGTATTTGGGTCCGCAATTGATGAGTGTTTCTGTGAAGCTGCTGCAAACATCACATCGGTTAGCTTCCGTGGTCTACCTATGGTCGGCTTGGTATTTGGGTCCGCAATGGATGAGTGTTTCTGTGAAGCTGCTGCAAACATCACATTGGTTGGCTTCCGTGGTCTACCTCTGCTAGATTGGGTATTTGGGTCCACGCTTGGAGAGGGTTTCTGTGAAGCTGCTGCAGACATCACATGGGTTAGCTTCCGGGGTCTACCTATGGTAGGTTTGGTTTTTGGGTTCGCACTTGGTGAGGGTTTCTGTGAAGCTGCTGCAAACATCACATGGGTGAGCCTGAAAACATTAGCCCTCCGTTTCCTTAGCCTGTGAGTGCACGAAGGAAGGGCAGAACTACCTGGATCACCTAGGATGCCTTGAGAAATCTCTGTGCCATGTTCATTTAAACCCTTTCCTTGTTCACATATATTTGTTTCACCAGCTCGTACTGTCAAAGGCTTTCGCCCTCTGCCATGCTTGTTGTTATGAACCACATGAAAAGCTCTTCGCTTGGTTTTCTTAAACCCCAATCTGGAAAACAGAAAGTGCTTGTCCTTCTTTCGGAGCCTCATGGTGGTTCTTCGACGGGGCTTGGCTTGTCTTCCTTTGGTGAGATTTAACACCTCTGTCCCAGGCTTATTTTTTTCCTCTTCTTTTCCAGAAAATATCGGAATGGGTGAGTCTGCAAAACACTTGTTTTTCTCAGTTGTGATATTTGCGGCATCTTCGGTTAAGAAGTCTCTTGAGGATTCGTCCTGGTGTTCCTCTTGCTCAGGCATGCTGTTGTGATCTTTCTCAGTATGACTTTGCATTCCATCTGTAGTTGAGATCATGTCTTCAACAGAAATCGATTCTGATTCCATATGAGACAAACATGGCGAGCTCACAGTAACATCTGTGGCACATGTTGACTGCTTTGTATCATCCAGTTGCATTTCGTCTATGGCTTGTGGTTTTGAGTAAAGCACAGCTTCAGAATCGCTATCTGTACATTGTTTCTCAGTGGTCAGGTTATCATTGCCCGATGTCGTGTCCGAGTCTGAAATCGCTGACGGCATTGTGGACAAACATGGCAGGCTCACAGTAACATCTGTGGCACAAGTTGACTGCTTTGTATCATCCAGCTGCATAGTGTCTACCGCTTGTTGTTTTGAGTCAAGCACAGCTTCAGAATCGCTATCTGTATACTGTTCCTCAGTGGTCTGGTTATCATTGCCCAATGTCGTGTCAGAGTCTGAAATCGCTGACGGCATTGTGGACAAACATGGCGAACTCACAGTAACATCTGTGGCACAAGTTGACTCATTTGTATCATCCGGCTGCATACTATCTACCGCTTGTGGTTTTGAGTTGAGCACAGCTTCAGAATCGCTATCTGTACACTGATCCTCAGTGGTCAAGTTATCACTACCCGATGTCGTGTCGGAGTCTGAAATCGCTGACGGTATTGTGGACAAACATGGCGAGCTTACAGTAACATCTGTGACACAAGTTGACTCTTTTGTATCATCCAGCTGCATAGTGTCTACCGCTTGTTGTTTTGAGTCAAGCACAGCTTCAGAATCGCTATACTGTTCCTCAGTGGTCTGGTTATCATTGCCCAATGTCGTGTCAGAGTCTGAAATCGCTGACGGCATTGTGGACAAACATGGCGAACTCACAGTAACATCTGTGGCACAAGTTGACTCATTTGTATCATCCGGCTGCATACTATCTACCGCTTGTGGTTTTGAGTTGAGCACAGCTTCAGAATCGCTATCTGTACACTGATCCTCAGTGGTCAAGTTATCACTACCCAATGTCGTGTCCGAGTCTGAAATCGCTGATGGAATTGTGGACGAACATGGCGAGCTTACAGTAACATCTGCGGCACAAGTTGACTCATTTGTATCGTCCAGCTGCATACTGTCTACCGCTTGTTGTTTTGAGTCAAGCACAGCATCACTATCTGTATACTGTTCCTCAGTGGTCTGGATATCATTGCCCAATGTCGTGTCAGAGTCTGATATCGCTGACTGTATTGTGGACAAACATGGCGAGCTTACAGTTATATCTGTGGTACAAGTTGACTCATTTGTATCGTCCACCTGCATAGTGTCTAACGCTTGTGGTTTTGAATCAAGCACAGCTTCACTATCTGTATACTGTTCCTCAGTGGTCTGGTTATCATTGCCCGGTGTCTTGTTCGAGTCTGAAATCGCTAACGGCATTGTGGACAAACATGGCGAGCTCACAGCAACATCTGTGACACAAGTTGACTCATTTGTATCATCCACCTGCATAGTGTCTACCACTTGTGGTTTTGAATCTAGCACAACTTCACTATCTGTACACTGTTCCTCAGTGGTCAGGTTATCATTGCCCGATGTCGTGTCTGAGTCTGGAATCGCTGACGGCATGGTGGATATCTGGTTTGCTATACTGATCAGATGGTGCAATTGTGACAAGCCTCGCACCTGTATGTCCAGGCAAACTTTATGCAGCCTGTTCTGTTTAGCAAGTGTTGCCTTCTTATCACCAGTGACTTTATCCACCTTCAAACAGTCGCCCAATCCTTGGGAAAGGCCAACTTGTGACTGGATCACAGAAACACTTTCGTCAGAAGTTTCTTGCAACAGTGATGGATGAGTAGAATCAGGTTCCCTCTCTGTACAGGTAGCATCCGCTCTCAAATCAGGTCCTGAAGATTGTCTAGATGGCACCAGGATTTTAGTAGCAAATACTGCCCGTTGCTTACTTTTTGAATTCGATGATTTTTTTCCAAATTCAGGCTTTGGGGACTTTTTGGTTGGTTTTCGGACAGTTTTAAGTTTGAGAGTTGGCTTTGCAGAATGCCTACACGTCTTGACTGCTTTTGCAAGTTGGTGCAGCAAGGATTTTTCAGTGGGTTTCAAACGTCTCTTAGGCCGTTCAAGCTTTTGTGTCAACGATCTAGTTTGGACTGTTTTGCCCAGATGGAGAGAATCAGCATCCTTGACCCTTTGCCGAGTGTTCTGGCTTAAGTCATGTGTGACGGATTTACTCAACATAGGATTCTCGCAAGATTGACCACTGACAATGTTCTGAGCCATGCATGACTGCCCAGACACAATTTTTTCAGCTTCCACGGTTTCTTCTGATCTGCAAGATTTTGGTGATTTTGAAGTGTGATCCATGATTGATTGCTCCTTTTTTACTCCATTAAGGGATTTACTGGCCACATGATATTTATTCTTTGCTGATTTTCTGTGTTTCTGCCTGGACCCTTTCTGAGTACATTGTTTTGTTGTCAGCTTGGTCTCTGGAGTAAGAGAACCATCAAGCTCACCTGCCTTGGTGAGTTGAGGTGCTGACGTTTCTTCCAAGGCCTTTTCGGAACCAGACTGTTTGGTATTCTGAGGAGATTTGTCAACTTCCAATTCATTAGATTCCACTTCCTTTATATGCTGTGGTTGTAAAAACATTTCTGAGGGGTTGCTGAGCTCTGCTGGCAACAAAACTTCCACAGGAGTCTTTTCAACAGAACCATTGGGATTGGTACTCTGAGGAGATTCATCAACTTCAAATTCATTAGATTCAACTGCTGTTATTTCTAGATGGCTATCAGACTTTTGTTCAGCATTCCTTACCACATCGTCAACTTTCTCATGTTTGAAATCACTGCCCTGGACTTCAGTTAAGAACCAATGGCCTGTGAATTTACAAGGCAACATGGAATTCCCTGCAACTTTTTGATAGGCTGGATATGGTCGCATCATCATGAGGATCTTTGGGCTATAATCGGAGACACTTTGTGTTTTGATTTGAATGCTGGCATCAGTTGACGAAGGGGCAATGTCTTGTGCAGGAGACACTGCCTGGAGAAAATCAGCGTCCTTGTCCTTTTGGTGAGAGTTCTCGCTTAATGAATGTTCTTGAACATCTATGGGGGATTTACTTAACATACTGGTAGGACTCTCGCAAGACTGGCCAATGACGATATTCTGAGCCATGCTTGACTGCCCAGACACGTTTTCTTCAGCTTCTATGATTTCTTCTGATCTGCAAGGCTTTGGCGATGTTGAAGTGTGATCTGTGATTGATTGCTCCTTTTTGACTCCCTTAAAGGATTTAATGACTGTATGATGATTATTCTTCGCTGATTTTCTGCGTTTCTGCCTTGACCCTTTCTGAGTACATGGTTTTGTTGTCAGCTCTGTCTCTTGAGAAAGTGAACCATCAAGCTCACCTGCCTTGGTGGGTTGAGGTGCTGAAGTTTCGTCCAAGGTCTTTTCCGAACCAGACTGCTTGATATTCAGAGGAGATTCGTTGACTTCAAATTCATTAGATTCAACTGCCTGTATATGCTGTGGCAGTAATATTTCTGAGGGGTTGCTGAGCTCTACCGGCAACAAAACCTCCTCAGGAGTTTTTTCAGCAGGAGCATTGGGATTGGTATTCTGAGGAGATTCGTCAACTTCGAATTCATTAGATTCAACTGCCTTTATGGCTAGAAGGCTATCTGACTTTTGCTCAGCATTCCTTACCATATCGTCAACTTTCTCACGTTTGAAATCACTGCCCTGGACTTCAGTTAAGAACCAATGGCCTGTGAATTTACAAGGCAACATGGACTTCCCTGCAACTTTTTGATAGGCTGGATATGGTCGCATCATCATGACGATTTTTGGGCTATAGTCAGGGACACTCTGTGTTTTGATTTGAATGCTGGCATCAGTTGACGTTAGGACAATGTCTTGTGCAGGAGACACTGCCTGGTGAGAATCAGCATCCTCGTCCCTTTGCCCAGTGTTATGGCTTAGTGCAATTTCTGGAACATCTATGAGGGATGTACTGAACATACATGTAGGACTTTCGCAAGACTGACCACTGGCAATGTTCTGAGCCATGCATGACTGCCCAGACACGTTTTCTTCAGTTTCTATGATCTGTTCTGATCTGCACGGTTTTGATGCTGAAGTGTGATCCGTGTTTGATTGCTCCTTTTTGACTCCCTTAAAGGATTTAATGGCTGCATGACAATTATTCTTGGCTGATTTTCTGCGTTTCTGCCTCGACCTTTTCTGAGTACAATGTTTTGTTGTCAGCTTGGTCTCTTGAGAAAGTGAACCATCAAGCTCACCTGCCTTGGTGGGTTGAGTTGCTGACGTTTCTTCCAAGGTCTTTTCCGAACCAGATTCTTTGATGCTTTGAGGAGATTCGTCAACTTCAAATTCATTAGATTCAACTGCCTTTAAATCTTCCGCAGGAGTTTTCTCAGTAGGAAGATTGGGATTGCTTAGATTGCTACATGTACCTGATTTGAGAGACTCACTCAACTCTTGTGCCTCACACAGATTATCAGGAATGGTCTCCATTGTTTGCCGACTATGGGCACTAACTCCTTGTACTAAGAACCAATGTCTGGATTTGGTTTCATGCAATTGTGGCTTACTGACAACACGCCGATATCGAGTAAAAGGCTGTAGTCTCATCAGCACCTTGGGGGCATAATCATGCGAGTGATAGAGGCTGCGGCATCCTGGTTGGGTTAGCAGCCAATGTCTACGTTCGGTTCCACACAGTAACCGCTTTCCAGCCATCAACCGATAACTAGAATACGGTCGAAGCGTCAGCAGGCTCCTTAGGGCAAAATTGGAACCTCCAAGTTTACTGATCTCAGGTTCCCCGTGAGTGGATATGTCACCGATATCTAATTTTTGGTGGGTAGAGTGTCGTTTGTGGTCCACTCGGCTCTTTGGTAGAACAGACGATTTTTCATTATCCACTTGTCCATTCTCAAGAGTATTCTGAAGTTCTCCAGCCGACATAACTGATTGCTTATTTTCAGATTGCAAAGAACCACTGTCAGTCTGCTGGATTCTCTGTGATCCTTGAGAAGATCCTCTCTCATTCTGGAGGACTGCCAAAGAGCCTGTCTCTTCTCCTGAATTCAGAACCCTCCTATTTGAGGACTGCTCCACTTCCTGAGTTGTTGGCTCTACATTGCATTTTGATTCCATTGCAAAAGTTGGAGTGATATTGCTGTGCACACACTTTGGACTTTGGATCGTGGTACACTGCTCAGGTGAAGTCAAAGAGGCTGCAGAAGCTTCATTTACGTTTTCGTGTTTCTCAGGAGTCTGTCGCTCAACACTTGGAGAGGACTGCAAGTCTTTAAAACTCAACTGGCAGTTACTGGATTGGTCACCAGACGCAGTAGAGCTTAACGCAACACATGCTGGTGCCGATCTTCGTGGTTTTCTCTGAAAAACAGAGACATACTTCTTGTTTGATCTTAGCAACATTGCAGTCTTGTGGGTACGTTCGCTTTCCTCCTTGCTTTTCAGCTGTGAATCCTGCCTGGATAGACTGTTCTTAGGTAACATGTCCTTGGCCAGCCTTCGCTTGTCGATTTGCCACTGAGCACAATTACTGCTGATGTTTGGCTCAACCTTAATCAGCTGGCACTTCGTTTTCATACCATCTGCTTCGGTATCTGTATCAGCAGATCTAGATGCTTTCCCGTTTGAAGCTTCAAGGACATGTTGTTTATCCGAGCGTGATGGCAGTGGCTGTAATGTCACAGACAAACGATGATTGCCCATGGTTTGAAGGAGCCTACTGTAGCTTGGTGGTTGCCAGGCTCTATGACAAGTCAGTGTGGCTTGCTTCACATGCTGGCTTCTTTTTCCTTTGCAGTGATTCTTCCTACTGTTTGATGAAGCTGCGGTTGTCCGACTCATTTCCAACAGTGTTTCACTTTGTCTGACTCTCTTCAATGCTGATTTTTCTTGAGCCCCTGAGGATCTGCCTTGCGCATGAGATGCAGGAGGATGCACCTTCTGAAGAGACAATGAGTCCCTTCCACTTAGGTGTGTATCTGCAGCTGATGCCTTTGCATGGTTCATCCCAGTCTTAAGCCTTCTCCTGGACAAGCCAATGAGCGGCGTGTACGTTTTGTGTGGTCGCAGGTGCATAAATGTTCTCCTGCCCTCTGATACTGCACTCGTAGACTTACATGTACCACCCCCATCATCAGGTGATCTGCAGTACACCGACGTTGGTTTCATGACTACGCTTTGTGACACGTCTAGCTCCCTCGGTTTCTTAATGCGGCCATTCTTATGAACCAAATGAGACTGTTCAATCCTCGTCTTCTTCGAGCCATTCGCCAACAAAGAACGACGTCCCATGTTATAAGGCCACCTACGAAGGTCAGTTATGAGAGTGTTAACTCCAACCAGTTATCCACACATGAACTGTTAATCAAATTTTTTCCACTCCTGTCTTGCAAAAACTAAAATGCCTTTTGAATTTATGGAACACAAGTATCACCAACCGGCAAGTGACAACTTCCCTGGCCAAGAGGTTTCCTGAGGATAGGGCAGCAAGTCCAACTTCTGTGGGAAGAGGTCCTCTTCCTGCTCAAATGCTCCCAGTGACTCATCAAGGTGACGGTCCACTTGCACGGCCAGGGTCCAATCTGCAGTAGATGCGAAGTGGATTGAGAGTCACCAAAATATTCAAAAGGCAGATTTGTGCAGATGAACAAAACAAGCCAAGAACTACTTTATACTCCTCACAGAATTAGAGCAAAACCTGACAACTCTTTGAGGGGTGGCCACCGGCAGAAGAATAGCACTCAAAATGGCATGGATGAATTGAGGCAATACTGGTAACTACTGAATTACATGAAGGCAAAATGTAAAGGTAAATGTACAAGATAAATCCTGAAAAACTAGATCTGGAAGCAATTTCAAAACATCTGTACCTGTAGGGACACATACTCAACATAAACTGCATAGTAAATGTACGGAGGGCATCTAGCACACATGTATACAAGAAGTACATGAAGTACATGTACATGTGCAATGTACATGAGCAATATACACTCACTGCACATACATGTACATACAGTACACAGCTCACATGTTCACTCAATATACCGGTACGTACGGTACAGTTTGTACATGAACACAAATGTGGGTTGAACATTTTGCATGACATGTTTAACCCCAACCCCACTTCCGGTAAGTGATTTACTACCGGAAGGAACCTTTCTCACCCCTGCAATTTCCAGCACCATATGGCAACTTATACAATGCACACCCAAACTTTTGGACTCTGATTATCATGATTATGGTGGTACCGGTACATGTACATGTATGCATGACCCCATGTAAAGCATAATCAGTTTACTAGTGAAGTACATGTACTCATTCAAACAGATTCCAACAAACCCTGGTTTTGGAGTTTGACTTGATGGGGATTGGTTGGGTTAGAGTCTACATTCACATTTCCATGTAAATAATGACTAATTCTAAAGCGTTGGGATATAAAAATACATGTACATGTGGGGGGGGGGTAGTGTACATGTACCTCCCAGTAGAAAGCAGAGGGAGTTCTTTTACAATTAGCCGATACTGAAGGACATCTCATTTTTATTATTACACTTTAAAAAAAAAAGGGATACATACAGACAAATTTACAATATGTAACCACAAGTACATGTTCATTACATTTATCTGAGAATCAGTGTCTTTAGCTGGCTAAGACAAGACTCGAGCCCACAACCTCATATTTTATGGTACTCTACTCTATTACAGTAAATTACACCATCCCACACATAGGCCGATTCAAATTTGATTCACTCGCACGTGAGACATGCATGTAGTTTAAATTACAGTATGTGTGGGCGAATTGGCATTGGTCTACGCTGCATTGCAAGTGAAGAAGCAAATTAATGGAACCTTACATTAGGCTCCATATACATGTACGTTTATAATGCACAAGCATGACTCGTAGCTGACTAACCCTAACCTTCCCAAATCCTCCAAAATCCTGTTTGCAGATGTAGGATTTTGCAGGATTGAGGCTATATGGCATACATGTGTGGCTGATTTTGGAGGATGCACTGTGTCAAGGGCTTGGGCCAGACCTTGTGTTGGACCTTGTGTTGTTTATGCTCAGCGTGCATACATTTAGGCCTAGATTATACTTGAAATCCTCCGCGCTGCTCCAGGACTGTCACTGGCTCTGCCTCAACATATTGACAGTGACTGCTGGAGGATTTTGCAGGATTGAGGAAGTGGTCACTGCTCCAAGGACAACATTCAAGAAATAAAGGCATTAAAGGATGAGTTTGGAGGATTGAGGCTATGTATGCAGTTTTTACATGGAGCAGTTGGAGGATTTTGCAGGACTGAGGTTGCATCCTAGCAAAAATGGAGTTAGGGTTAAGTGTACATGTATATGCATGTATACCGCTCACTCATTGTTTGGCCATTATAACCACTACGTACATTTTGTTATTGAAAATGAAACTTCTAGCTACATGGAAGTTCGATTCAGACTATTGGGCCAACGGCAAGTACATTGTAACTGGAAATCAGACGTACATGTATTATTATTTGATTTTTCGGTTCATTCGCTCGGAGCTTGTACGCATGCGCGCATACTAACATTTCGCTTGTACCGTACCCCCCCGCGGCGCGCTCCGAGCGAACCGAAAATCATCGCTGGATCATATGCATGCACGTTTCAAGTGTCAGGTTGGCTCAGTGTGGAAAGGGCATATTTTTCATCATTTTGGCAAAAAAAATGACAAAATCCAGCGATGTTTGTTCTGCGCATATTACATGAGTATGTCATGAGGTGTAGTACGGAGTTCGGGGGCAAACTGTGCAGTGGTTCTGTGGGAAATGTCTGCATTTTGATGGACGTTTTTGTACTTAAAGGGAATATACAACATTTGCAAACATCGAAAAATAAAACTACCAAGTTTTTGCGAAATACCTTAATAGGATGTTGGTAAATGACAGTCTAAAGCATCCTGTAAAATTATGGCACCTGGTATACTGTCATTTTCAAGAAAATTGGTATTTTTGTATCAATTTCCAACGCTGATCGGCCGATCAGCGTTGGAAACAACTGGCTTTTTTTCAAATACTGGCCACAATTGACCATTGCACTTGTTTGCAATCGATTACAAACCTATGAACGGGTACGGGCCAGCTAGACTGGTTCCCTGACCTTACAATTCCCCAATGTATGTAAACTGCTCTGTTTCTTCTTATATGGAGTCAGGGAACCAGACTACAGGAAAATGATCGTTTTTCTTGGTTTTTATAGCATTTTCGAACCCAAAACCTCCAAAAAGTCAGTGTAACTATATTTGCTTCATATTTCCAACCCCCCAATTCCATCCATTTCTGAAAATTACAGCAAAAGCAAATGATGTATATTCCCTTTAATTACCGGTAGTGTTTTGTGCTGAAAACAATTTTGCGGGGTTCTTCATCCGTGGAGCCTCATAGTTCTAGGAGTAAGAGTAAGGACTCTACGAATCGCCTTTTTTAACATAAGGAGTAGAGTCCTAGCTACTCGGACTACGTGCACCTGTTTTCGAGATCTCAAGTTTTCGAAGTTTGAAAATTTGTAGTTGTACAATGTAGCGAGGCACAGATTCCTACCACACAACCAGTTGATTCATTGTTGTGTACGTGTTCCACCACCAGCCCCCCCCCCAAAAAAAATGGACACCGAAGGCATTGTCCTAATGTCTGTGATTTTCTCTAGCTAGAAATAAACCTGGCACCCTTGAAAACCGGAACATCGAGGATAGCCACGTACGGTTCATTCATCAAATGTTTGCATTCATGATTTGATAGGCGCATTATTTACATAAAATTAAAAGTTTTTTTCTTGAACTTATAATGCGCCTATCATTTGTTCCATTGTCTGAACACATTCATTAAGATGAGGTACGCGATACACTTGCCCGACTGCGTCTGGCCGTACAGTACTATCGCAAGCTCTGTAGTACGGCCAGACGCTCAATGCTTCCCCACAGACTGAATTTTGTTTCACTCTGATGTAGCGATTTTGCTACAGATTTTGATCGAGATTATCTTCTCGTCCAAGACAGAAATATCCAAAGTTAAGGTTCCTAGTCGTAGAGGAACTCATACCTTTTTGAAAAAAACGTTCTTTGGTCCCAATATTTTCATCCATCTGGCCAAAAGACGACTTTCAGTCATCATCTTCCACAAATATCGTCCTAAAAATGTCCTCCATGCGATTTCAAAATGGCGGCCGCGTTGTAATGTATGTATTATGCGGGCGTGCTTGGGCAAGATAATGAATATGCATCATAGTTTATGACGTTTGTCTGGCGCGCGGCGCGGCTGGCCATACAAACACGAGGTCATGAACTAAATATTAAAATAATGCATATTCAATATCTTGCCCAAGCGCGCCCGCATAATGCATACATTACAACGCGGCCGCCATTTTGAAATCGCATGGAGGACATTTTCGGGACGATATTTATTTGTGGAAGATGATGACTGAAAGTCATCTTTTGGCCAGATGGATGACAATATTGAGACCAAAGAACGTTTTTTCGAAAAGGTATGAGTTGCTCTACGACTAAGAACCTTAACTTTGGAAATTTTTGTCCTGGATGAAAAGATAATCTCGATCAAAATCTGTAGCAAAATCACTACAATTCAGAGTGAAAAAAAAATTCAGTCTGTGGGGTAGCCCCATAAATGTGGCCTATTTACTGGACTGCCTCCGTAAACATAGGCCACACATCCACATGTACAAAAAAACGTGTCGACTTTGCCAAATTTTGATTTTAACATTTAGGCTTACTTTGTAGATTTTTTTTGCTTTAGAAGCATTCTCACCCTCTATATAGGCTAATCAGAAAGTGCTGCCTTTTTCAGATGTTTAATTTTTGTGAAATTTCATGTTGAAATTTTGATACGCAAACGTGTGCAAATGTATCTGGAAATTTCACGAAAAATGGACATCTGAAAAAGGCAGCACTTTCTGATTAGCCTATATAGAGGGTGAGAATGCTTATAAAGCCAAAAAAACGTAAAAAGTAAGCCTAAATGTGAAAATCTAAATTTGGCAAAGTCGACACGTTTTTTTGTACAGTATGTGGATGTGTGGCCTATGTTTACGGAGGCAGTCCAGTAAATAGGCCACATTTATGGGGCTATCTGTGGGGAAGCATTGAGCGTCTGGCCGTACTACAGAGCTTGCGATAGTAGTTGTACCATGGTTGTACGGCCAGACGCAGTCGGGCTAACGATACACCATGTACACATGTAGGCCTACACATGCTACAGGCATGACAGGAACTAGACCCGTGAACGTGCATACGAAATTATGTATGGCGGATCGACTTTGCCAGGTTCAAAATGACACAACAGCGTGGAGCATGAAATTGTGCATGTCCGGAAACTGGGCATGCTAAAAAAAAAACCGGCCATGCCCATCATCCGGTCCATGCATGGCACAGGAAGTTAAATACCCAACAAAATCAACCATCAAAATACATTCAAATGCAGAAATTCCAAAAAGACATTTCCACTAATGTTTAAGAGGGGTTGTATAAAAACAATGAGGTATTTTACCCGCTAGGACTGCGTTTTTGGTCCATGTTATGGTCACGCAAATGTTCGACGATGATTACAACTTCAACATGGAGACCTCGATCGAGCACGTAAAAATAAATGAGTACGGAGTCCTTGAAATCCAGCCGGGTTTCCTAAAAATAACATCACTTACTTTTAAAATTACTCTCAAAGCGTGCATTTTTTGGTGATTTGTTGAATGACAGTAATTTTTTGTACACAACTCTTATTCTTATTATGCCAGAGGACTCCTTGTCTGAAAGGGAATCAAGCGTAACAAGGCTAATTATTTCGAAGGAAATGTCCTCTGAGGCTTTCGTACATTGCTGAAAGCGCGCTAAAAGTTCAGTAAAGCGCGCCACGCCGCGTGCGCCTAGCAGTGAGTTTCATTTTGTGTGTTTCGAAAGCCGAAATGACGTCAAAAAGTGACTCAACACACAAAATAATTTTGAATTAAAGCAACCTCATCTATCTTTCGTGTTGGGTTTTGTTAGGTTGCTTGATACTTCAGGTTTTAATGCCGGCGGCCGGCCAGCAAGCGGATGGCGGCACGATGAGCTGTGGGGCAGGCTTGCATAGCACATTATACAGTTCCTCGAGAGCTTGAAACTTGACGGACCGGCATGTTCTTTTACATTTATTTTCACCAATTCATATCCAAGCCCAAATGTAAAAAAAAAAATTAAAAAAAAAATAAAAAAAATGAGTGAGTCTTGAGCCAAAGTAATGTTTTTCGTTCAACTGCTCTCGAGAAAACTGCACGTACTTCCACTTTTTCCTCATTTGAATACCTAAGCATTGCCCCCTCCCCAAGACCATTCTGTGGAACAACTCAAGGGCGCAGAAGGATCTAGAGAGAACATCGCCGGAGGCTGATGGCTGTGGCGGGGAGGCGGAAGGGCTCTCACAATTGAAAAATTAGCCTTGTATGGGTTTGAGAAAACAGCTGGGGGCGCCCCTAGCTCGCAATTTCTCTTCTTGACACTGCAACTAAAAAGCCAAGTCTATTTTACTGGAAAATAACACGTATTCTATATCCACAGTAAAACATAAATTTGCAGAGACAAAAGCTCTTCTATTGCTGAGTGCAAAGCACCAACTCATGATTTATTGATTTGATTTAATTTTGACAAACATGTATCATGGTCATACCATTTTTAACAGCTGCAACAGTTACACCTATAGGAACATACCTTTTGGAAAGAAACAACTTTAGGAACATTAATGATCTCATGACTAACAAATACAAGTATTCAAAAAATTAACCAATACTGATATACATGAATTTGGTTTTAAGTATGACATCTTTAAGGTTTTTTTTGTGTGGAAAAGTTACACACATTGTCTACTGTCAAATATATGGTATTATTCATTCACCTTATCAATATTCATTACTCATCTTTATAAAGTTTTTATGAATTCATTCAATATAGGAAATACAATACTGGATTTCTATTGCAGTCCTGTTTGATAATTCATACAATAATACTGAAAATGTATAAAGATGATGCATAGTTAATTTTTTCTATATCTTTATTTAAAACAGATACAACATTTTCGGCTCAATAAATGGTATTTCAGTCAAGCATTTCATGCAATCTTGTAGATTTGGCAATGAATATATACATAAAAGGCACTGCCATTTAGAAAGTAATCATACAAAAATATAATTTGTTCTCTTTGAGAAAAAAATTACATTTTACAAATGTTGTTAATTATACTTACATTTTAAAGTATTTTAACTTAATATTTCCTTTTATTTTTTATTCTATTGTGGTAAAACATTAGAGACAAACTTGTGAGGTTTGCTACTTTTTGAAAGTGAGTTTTCTTTTGTTTCGCTGTTTTTTTTTTTTTTTTTTTTTTTTTTTTTTTTTTTTTTTAAAGTAAACTATTTTTTTTCTAAGAGTTGGGATAGACTTTATCATTTGACCACACTAGAGAAACACTAGAGAAATCCACGAGGTGTTACCATGCTTGCACTCATAAAGTCCTAAATTTGAGGCACATTTCTTGGCAAGTTACAAGCACAACCAAAGGAGTATTGTGTGTGTGTGTGCATGTGGAGTTTTCGTGCATGGCAGCACCTCAGTAAAGCTTTCATTTGCAGTCTTGGGAAGAGTTGTAGTCTGGTATTTTTTCCAAATTCAAAGTAAACTGATATATAAGGTGTTTATTATGAATAAAACCTGAATATTAATGATGTATTCACTAACAAGGGCTGATCCAGAACCAATATTCTCGGGACTGGCGGGGGGGGGGGGGGGGGGGGGGGGGGGGGATGGGGGGTCCGAGGACCGAAGGGGACGAATATAGCATCGACTTTCAAAACAGTCGTCATCAATCCTAGTTAAATTACTGAAAAAAATTGCCACTGTTCCCCCCTCCAACCCTGCCTATGTTTGCCGATTACTTAAATGAGTAAACTGAGTAGGAGTGCTTAGACTCGCATCTGACACACATTTGCTGAAATCTACACATTTTTGTGAAGGAACTGGACTTCGATCAAAAGAACACTTGGAACAATTTCAGTATACTTTTGACAAAAATACTCATTTTCGACCCATTAATCAAGGTCTGGACACTGAGACAACACTGTCTGGCTTTTCAAGCATACACTACAGTTGGCCCTCCGAGAGCAAACTTGTTTATCTGGGCAGCAAAGGTGGTTATCTGGGCAGCAAATGTTTGGGCCGATTTTTTTTTTCGTTTGATGTCTCATTCAAAAGTGAAACTCTTTAAATGTAAATAATGGAAAATTACAATTTTCAAAAAATAATCAATTTTTCGCAGCGAAACTCCAAAACAGCACATGTTCCTGTCGGCATCTTGAGAGATATAGTCACAGCTATTTAGTCTTGACCCAGGGAACCCAGTAACCTCCGTGTAGAGCAGGGTTAGCGTTGGGGTCTATGGGTTTGTTGCGTGCCGGTACCATGCTGGCTTTGTACTCGTCCAGACGTTTCGTCATAGAATCTACGATATCTGTTGATAGGGATAATATGAAAACAGAAGAACTGACCAAACTACTATGGGTAATATTTATATAATATTGGAAGGCTTTTCGGGGGATACAAGAATATCTTGCACGAGCTGTAACAATATTAATCATTGCACTGCAAATTTGTAAAATTTAAACACATTTCATTTCCTGTTTGATTCACGCTGAGTGTTTTCTAATGTCAACTTTGCTCGCATTCGCATGAACTTGCTTTAAAACACAAATACAAAACAATAGGGGCCCGATTCAGAATTTTCAATGATTTAAAATGTTGACTTTTTTTCCAAATTATTTTGACCCACCCACCCACCCCTAATTTCGATTAATAAATTTTTAAAATTTTTCGGAAAAAATTCCATTGCTGCTGAGTGCTGGGCGGAGGCAAAAGCTGTCTCTTTGCAACTTTTCGAAGACAAACAAAAGTCAAAAGATCATTTTTTTCTTTTTTTTTTGGCTCCTTTTTTCCATGAAAAGTGAATTTTGATTTTCAATTATTTAGCTTGACCCACCCACAATTTGGAAAAATAGTCGAAATTTTAAAACATTGATAATCCTGAATGGCTCCTTACAAAAATGACACACACAAAAATCTTTATCCTTTCTCATTATGAACACAGAGAATTCAAAACTACAAAGTGGCAATATGTTGTTACCTTGATTCCAGTCTGCGATGTTGTAGAACTCGCATGGATCGTGTGTAATGTTATACAGGCATGTTGCCTCAAATGGGTTGCAGTTAGTGGATGCGTTGCTGGGTTTAGTTGGGCAGTGAACGGCAAACGCACTGGCAGGCGGGGGAGGGGGGACGTAATCTGTGCAAAATGTCCCAGAAAATTACGGATTAATAGTGAAATATAGATGCATATGTCTGTGACCTACAAACTGACAGTCATAAATCACCAGATCTCATACGCTTTTTCCTCTGTTTTTTTTTTAAAGACAAACATTCTTCAGCTAAACTACTAAAAAATTTCAAGGTTTTTTCTCAGAAAAAAATTGAGTTTGGAGTCTTGTATTTCTTTGGATTCACTTAATTAGTGTATAACTACATGATAAAGAATTAAGAATGCAGAACAAGAAACCCAGGCCTACTGATCAGAGCCAGGGATGGATTAGTATGGAGAGGTTAACGAACAACAGCTTGGTCGAATGGTAAGGCGTCTGCACTAGAAGGCAGGAGGTCGTGGGTTCGAGTCCCGCCCGAGTGATTTTTTTCTCACTTTCACTAGGGAGGCAACACACTGAGTATACAGTGTTTATACGTCGGTTAAGGGCAAAACCTAATTTTGATTTACATCACCCCGACGCAAATTTCATCTGATGAATAGTTTCATTGCGGTACCCGCTGCTACATCAGATTCGAAGCAGCCAGCCGATCCCGGCAAGCTTGGTGTTACGTCTGCACTAGAAAGCAGGAGGTCGTGGGTTCGAGTCCCACCCGAGTGATTTTTTCCAACTTAATTCACTCGGGAGGGAACCCACTGAATATACAGTGTTTATACGTCAGTAAAGGGCAAAACCTTTAAAATATACAGTCGAACCCTAATAAGAAGAGCACTGTTAATACAACATCCTGCTAATAACAAGGAAAATATAAGGCCCCAAGTTTTTGTTTTCTTTTGTTTTCCATTACTGATAATACAAGGTACCTATAACAAGATAATTTGTAAAGTCCCAAGGACCTTGTTTAAAGGTGTAATTCAACTGTATTAGATTTACATCACCCCGACCCAAATTCCATCTTATGAACATACAATACTGTAGGACAACCAACACAACCGACGCAAAACATTAAGTTGGCGTAACGGCCAACGCTACTCACGCGGTGGCAGTCCCTCAGGTTCATACCATCCCGACCATTTTCCACGTTGAACATCACCGTTAATAATCTTCAAGTCTCCCATGCGAAGGGCGGAAACAGCAGCTTCCGTGTCGATGTTCAGTAGGATCTCGGATCGTGGTGACTTCTGACCCCTAGTATAAGAAAGACAACAGAAAATCTCTACGTCATCCCTTCTGATTAGACATAGATTGTAATGTGCAATTTAAGTTATCAGAAAACTGGGTTTCAAGAAGAGCAGATTAAAATTAAATCAGCAAACAAGTAC